CCAAATCGTCTGTATTAGTAAACACTAAGCAATATTTTCACCACCAATGACTACAATGAAAAATATTCAAATCCTTCTAAAAATTTGAAAAATTAAATATTTGTTCGAATAAATCAAAATAGTTTTCGAATACTACTCTTAAGTCATTTTAACTGCCCCAAGGAGTGTTTTCTCAATGAAGAAATGAAAATATGAAGTATTATCTACGTTTTACTTCAAGCCCCCCCCCAAATAAAAAACAAAAAAATGAAGGCAATAATGTTAATATACGTTAATATAATAATAGTCAAATTAAATAAAGGTTTCATATTATCTGATGCGGGTTTTGACGTTTGGTTACTCAATTTTCGTCTTGCTGGTATTTCTAAATACATTAAAAATCCAAAAACTGGCGTGATAACTCCGTTGAGAAATATATCATGGGATTTCAGGTAATACTGTTTATGTCAACTAATAACATTAAGCTACTATTCTTATTAAAACTAATACTGAGGATATGGTATTCTAATATTGTTTGAGAATATAAAATCAGTAGGTACAGTTGAGAATATTATTCAATAAATTTAATATGATAAATTAAATTAATGATTTAATTGAAGCTTTGACGAACTGGGAATATATGATACAACAGCTGGTATTGATTTTGTCTTAAACAAAACTGGATATTCTACACTACACATGGGTGGTTATTCTTTCGGAGCTACCATATGCCTCGTCGCGCTTGCTGAACGACCAGAATACAACAATAAAATTGACAAATTGCTATTGATAGTTCCAACAGCCAGGATGAAGTATTACGACAGAAGGCTTATCCTTTTAAAGATATTCCCATATCTATTCCATGTAAAAACCTACTTGTTTACTATCTATATTTAATGAAAATATTAATGAGTCACATAGTTAAAAAAATAATTGATTGTAATTTTAAGTGCCTCGTATAGGTGTACTTATTCGTTTCTATAAAGACTATATTATCTTTTGTATAATGTGTATCTGTTTACTTATACATATTATCAAAACTATTTAAAATTGTATTATTATATTTACATNAAAAACCTACTTGTTTACTATCTATATTTAATGAAAATATTAATGAGTCACATAGTTAAAAAAATAATTGATTGAAATTTTAAGTGTCTCGTATAGAGGTGTACTTATTCGTTTCTATAAAGACTATATTATCTTTTGTATAATGTGTATCTGTGTCATGGGCGCAACTAGGGTAACATTTATGGGAGTGCTAAAATCCAAAGCACAACACGNTACTATCTATATTTAATGAAAATATTAATGAGTCACATAGTTAAAAAAATAATTGATTGTAATTTTAAGTGCCTCGTATAGGTGTACTTATTCGTTTCTATAAAGACTATATTATCTTTTGTATAATGTGTATCTGTTTACTTATACATATTATCAAAACTATTTAAAATTGTATTATTATATTTACATTGTAAACAATATTTTCGTTTATTTTTTTATTTTTTTAGAGACCATTAAGAGGCAGAAATTACGTGCCTAAGATGAAAAACCCGGACAATCAGTGGTTTGGAAACCAATGTAAAAATAAAATGTACATGAAATTATTCTGTTATTATGTGATGACCCAATTACAAGGCAACCTTTTACCCATAGATTATGTATGTAAAATATAATTTTATGGAAACTAATGAAAAAACTGGTGGTGGGCGTAAGTCTTATCATTGTTGATAAAAAAAATCAAATAAGTTTTCTGTGTTCAGAATCTGAAAAGGTTTATTTAAATGTTAAATAATAGGTATACCTACAAAGTATTCAATTTTTAATTTTACGTAGGTACTTACTACTTACCTATTATTAATCAGATGATAGAAATTGTCTACAAAATATTTTCAATTTCTAAGTAGAAACTTAGTAGAAGCTTGTTAAATATGCACAAAATGTATTAATTTTAGGCGACCATAGATATCTTGAAAACATATCCTCAGCCGACGTCCGTCAAAGTGATGACACATTATTATCAACTAATACACGAAAGTGAGCATAGCAGTAATTAATTCACTTTATTATTAATAAACTAAAGTTTGATAATATTGCATTGTATACTTAAATATATTATAATATATTACTAGTTTTACTACTAGTTATTTCGGTATTATTTGTTTGTGTATATTTTCAGATTATTTCCGAAAATACGATTATGGAAAAATCGGAAATATAAAGCATTACAACTCCACTACTCCACCAAACTATGATTTATCTAAAATTACAGCGAATACATATATATTTCATTCAAAATATGACATTATGGCTCCACCAAAGGTAAAAATATTTTTATTTTTTTAAAAATCCAAACGGGACGATTGGCAATTTGTATAGGTTAGGTAAAAGATAGGATTTCTATCTTACAAATAGAGCCATTTAATTGTTTAAATACGTTTTACTACTGAATACTATAATAAATTATTACAAATGATTTTGAATGGAGCTCGTATAAACATATTTTCTCCTAAATTTAAATTGAACATTTTATTAGCTTTTATCACAAAATAGTTTACAATTTTTTCGTGTTTTAGCAAATTGTGTTGAAAGTTTGAAATTCAAACGCTGATAAATATAATTGTACCCATATTCATTTTTGATTCTATTATATTACCATAAAAGATAAAAAAAACTCATATAGAACATTGTATTAAATTTACATTTATCTATTCAAACATTTCAAACTAGCAATAACTTAAAAAAAGTGGATATATTGTAAAAACTGTACAATGTCTAAAAATTATTAATATTACCAACGTATTCAATGAAGATTTTAAATTTCTAAAAAGATTTCTTTTTGAATTGTAACAAAAACTAAATTGATTTTGTCAATTATTATTATTAATGTTCTATTTTTTTTAAATAATTGTCGATACTTTTTCGGCATGGTTAAAAAAAATATAAGTAATTCACAAAAATAATATCTCCGATACCTCCACTAGATAAAAATGTTATCAGATATTATCCCTGGTGATAATAAAATTGAAACATGACTACTCATCGAAATCGTATTGTATAGGAGAAAATAAAAAGCGCGCATCATCCCCGTTCTGAACTAAAAATTAAATACCTATTATAAAAGCCGTCCTATTTCAATTAGTAAACAACGAATATACCAATATCTAGAGAATAGATATTTTTATTAATTGAAGGACTAATACCCATAACAAACAAAAACTGTTAGATAATATAATACTACGACATGCCGTTGTTGGGCTGTGTGTGAATTAGAAAATATGTTAAAATAGAAAAGTAAAATGTAATAATTATGTTAACAACGTTGTTTTAGACCAAAGAGTAACCTATCTACTTTTTATTCACATGGGAAAATATTAAATATAAATTTTAGCCGCTCATTATGAAGTTTAATCGATGACAAATGTATTCTACTGAAGTAACTGGCAAATATACCGGCTGTAAACTCGATGGTTTTTCAAGTTTTCAAGTTATTTTTCTCAAAAGCTTTTAATACTTTAAACAACATACCTACTAAATTACACTTTGTCCGCCCATAACAATTATAATCTAACATGTTATTCCGAAAACTGCCCAATTTAATCGGGAACACAATAATATTTGAGTTTTCAAATTGTAAGGGCCTAGGATTATACTAGACTAAATAAAATCGGTCTAGAAATACACCCTCACTAACCTAAATTCAACCTAATTCTATAGAGTCATATACTTTGTTATGAGTTTTTGTTTAAATGAAACTTCTACAGCAACTTAGGCTTCATTTTTTTACTAAAGATATTCTTTCTTAGCAGCCTAGGTGAAATCGTGTAATTCCTTCTATTAAGGGTTCTTTATTTTTTCAGGACATACAATGGTTAGTAAATAAATTACCTAATGTCAAGAACATCACTATGATAAAGTCATTCAGCCATATGGGATTCGCTAACAGTCCGTATTTGAAACCAGTTAACATTTTAATTGCTAAACATTTATTGTAAACTATATAATTACTAAGATATGTACATTTATAATATTGTATGTAATAGGACTGTAAATAATCCTTTAATTATAATACCAAAACAATAAATCTAAATATCTTAATTATTGATTTACCTTAGGCAAGTATTTAAAAATACAAATTAAATGAAAAAAAACTATTATTATCATCAATCAAATTGTACTTTTTCATAATAAAATATAATCACATTTGATAACTGTGTGAAATTGTATTTTTTCACAACACCAGAGTTGGACAAAAACATAATTATCAATAAGTGTGTGATAGTCAAATTCTCTTGTGGTATTGTTTGTTTTATTCATTTACTAGGTTAAAAAAAATGAGATCAAAAAAACTGTCCTAATAAACAATTTTCTTTTCATTACCGGAAAGTTGTAGGATAATTTTTACATCCTGAAGAGAAGAATGGTATTAGACCAGCCATTGGGGCAGGGAGGCAGGCTAGACGTAATTAATTGGTGTCCAGTTGATCTATTTCATTAATCATTATATAATATAATATAATATTATTAATACCACTGAGCAACAATGGAAATCATAACTATTTTAGATCAATTAAATCTGAAAAAAAAATTATAATAAAATATTTCAACGGCCAGTCTGTTAGGAGAAAATTAGTCTAGTGACGGAGCTTTGCTGCTCACGGGTTTTTTCTTTAACTTCTAATTTTATGAGCTTTCTTCACAGTTCACACTATCTTGCTGTGAGTCGCTGTAAATTGCGTCCCATTTGTAATTTTGTATGTAAATTGCGGCCCAAGTGTATTTTGTACATATGTAAATTGTGGCCAATTTTATATGTATTTATATGTATTTTATATGCCTACCTAAATATTTTTTTATCATTTATCCATATGTAAATTATGTCTAAGGCTTTTTTTGCAAAATCAATATTTTCCTTCTCATTTTTCAGTCTTAGGACTGGCAATATAATTGAATAAATATTGATATGATTAAAAATATTGGTTTTGCTGATATTATTAAAAGTAAAAATTAATGTTTAAAATGTAAAAATTTGTATGATTATTAATCATTATTAATGTATTATTATATTAAACTGGTNGGCTTTTTTTGCAAAATCAATATTTTCCTTCTCATTTTTCAGACTTAGGACTGGCAATATAATTGAATAAATATTGGTATGATTAAAAATATTGGTTTTTTGCTAATATTATTAAAAGTAAAAATTAATGTTTAAAATATAAAAATTTGTATGATTATTAATCATTATTAATATATTATTATATTAAACTGGTAAAAATTTGTATGACAATTCCCGCACATAGTCTAACCTTGTAATTTTTTTTGCTTGCAATTCAANATAATTGAATAAATATTGATATGATTAAAAATATTGGTTTTGCTGATATTATTAAAAGTAAAAATTAATGTTTAAAATGTAAAAATTTGTATGATTATTAATCATTATTAATGTATTATTATATTAAACTGGTAAAAATTTGTATGACAATTCTCGCAAATAGTCTAACCTTGTAATTTTTTTTGCTTGCAATTCAAGTATTTTTTCATTTATAAATATTTCTTTTTCAGTCATTTTTTTACTTTTTGATCCCTTACTTCTCAGTGTTATATACGTATCATATTGCATGTTTTTTAAAATGTCAATGAAATTAAATATGTTTGGGTGTGCTGAATTGAATGAGCTGTTAAATTTTTTATGAAATGATTCACAATTATTTGTTGTGCGCATCGTTGAGGATACAAATTCGGCCCATATCTGTGGTGGAAACTCTGCGTTGTTGGTTATATATGTTTCTAATATGTAGTCAGTAAATTGTACTATCTTATTATCTTGTGGTTGCAATGCCATTATATCATACGCAAAACAATCTTCAACCATATCATGACTTAAAAAAGGAAGTCCAAAAAATAATTTTAAAAAATTACTTATATCAGTATTATTGTTTTTGTAATCATTACTTAACCCCAGCTGCCGTATTTTCCTGTACCAACTTTGACCTAGGTGAAATCTACACCCTTTTACTTCAATAGAAGGCCAAACATGACTTGCAGCATTATGAATAGCCTTTTCAAAATCGGCATACAACCGAATAGGACTGAATTGTAAGTTATTTTTTTTTACACTCGATAACTACATGTTGATGTAGATGTAAATAGCATTGTGTAGTCTTCGAAGGTAGTCAAATATAAACGAGTGGAGCATAAGACTGATTTATTGTACAATGAATGGTAAATAGTTGATGGTATAATGTCGGACAACTTTTGAATGTACCATCTACAAATATAGAATCCGAATCGCATAGCACTTTTAAATTGCTTAATGTAGAAAACCCCACTATATTTGTTTCTTTACTATTAACTAACAAAAAATTTTCATTTTTATTTGTTTTTAATTCCATGTTGTCAAGAATGTTATGTAATTCCAAAAACGTGGTTGGTAATTTTGGTAGGATAGAAGCTCGAGCATTGTGTAAATTTCGTTTAATCAACCTAACGTCTTGAATAGTTAAAGATTCGACAACANTGAAACCATCAACTACTTTCAAAGTTTTATTTTTTTCGCTTTTCATAACGTCCATTTTTATTAAATTAAATTTAACTGTATTAAACTGTAGAGCAACGTAAAACCTTCGACTTTCACGATTCGATCTACTATCTGCTAGTAATATTATATTAGTGAACATATTATTATCAATCAGAGATTAATACTTATCTCCAAATTGTACAACCGAACGGAAATCGGAATTTAATTTATTTTAAATCGGAGTTTACGTATATTCCAAATATACCCGGGACGCAATTTACGTACATTTCAAATATACCCGGGACGCAATTTACGTATGTTTTAAAAGTACATGGGCCGCAATTTACATAGTATATGACTATGACCTTTTTTTGGGGACGCAATTTACCGACTCCGCTTGCTGTTTGCGTTGGTTTTATGACGAGAAATATGACGTGTTTATAAACGTCATTATATAGCATTATAATAGTTATAGAATATTAGAATCAAAATGATAATAATATGATAAGACGCCAAGGATGATAAACTTGAAAGCCGCTCATTGGTCATTGTTTTTCTAAGAAAAGTCTTGATACGTTTTAATGTACTCATACGCCGTTCACTAGAAGCCGTTGTTGATGGAATAGTTAACACTAACTGACAAAGTTTAGTCACCTGTTGATAAATATATTTATGTAAATCACCTGTGAATTTCAAAGAAAAAATTAAATATAATATTTAGTTTGGATAAATTATTATCACCTACTTTTTATTATAAAATCTAGGAGTTCGTGAGTAGGCAAACGTTTTTTATCATCTGCATAAATTACAGCCAATTCATTGCGTAAACGATCTGCATCAAAAGTATTAGGGTGGATACTGCTGTAATAACTTAATGAACTTTGACTCGGGAAATTCGGAAATCTCTACAAACTCTAGTTTTGGAAAATCTTCAAATCGTATGTTAGTTTGGACGATTAATGAATCTAGAATTGCATATGTAATTTTACGTAATTCGTATCGTTTTTTGTCTTCATGTTCTAAATTGTTGTTTAATATTATTAAACGAAAATTGTTAAACTTCGTCGCAAGAGTTATTCACATTCGAATCATTTCTTAAATCGGCCAAATTTTTTTTTAAATTTTGAATTTCGGAAATACAAGATTTTATATTTGAAAGGGATTTGGATTCCTCACTTCACTCAGGATCTAAAAGAGCAAATGTATCCGCAAACTGCGGCTGTCATCCATATTATAATTTGGCCCATCGAACAAAAATGAATAATATATGTATAGGAGGTAGTGAAAACATTATTAACGAATATGTCAACACAGTAATAATCGCGTTATATTTTAGATTCTGAGAAGAAGCTATGGTTTTACAAAGATGTTTATTTAATTTTTTTTTTTTTTGTGGACAATTTTTCTACCAGAGGACTTGCTCCGATTTTTACGTGTAGCACCTTTTTTGAAAGGAAATCGATGTAGGGAAGTACTTTAAAAGGTCATTTTTCGATTTCCTCAAGAATTTTCTTATCAAATGTGAAAAAACGAAAAAAAAAACGAGAAAGAGTACGAAATATAGTTTTATAATATTACGATTGTATTTTTTCCCCTGTGGTTAACTTTTCTACCAACATTTTTGCTCCAACTTATAATAATAGCAATTTTTCTAAATCGAAATTTTACTGGATTGGTACTTAGCTACTATTGAGGTTGTTTTTCGATTTTCTCCGGAGTTTTCCCAGCAAATGCGATAAACTGGGAAAAAAACATGGGAAACCCGAGAAAAACGTAGGAAAAGGGGGAAAATCGGTAAATTTATCAAAGATTATTGAAGAAAATATATAATACCTATTCAATTATTTTATCATAAAATGACATACATAATTGTTGATAAAGTATCACTCTCAACTGAACTCCGCTCAAAATCATTTTTCCTTAAGTAATGGTTTTTCGTTGGTTACAGGTGTACATTAAATTACCTAAAACAGTGGCTGCACCCGTCCCCATTATCCTACCCACATTTAGAAATAATTTTTTTTTTAGTGGCCAGAAAAACAAATGTATAATGCAGGGTACGGGGATTATCCCTTTAGGAGCGCCGTTTTAGCGGATTTTTTGAAACTCAGACAACCAACCGATTCTCAATTAGTCATAATATGATTATTATTGAAATTTAAACAACAAATTTTATGAAATAATTTGAATTGTAGGTACTTAGTTTTAATTTTACGTGTATGTTATTTCATAAATTTGCTTAATCCCAGTGGCTTCATTAGGGATGATTAGTCCCTAAATCATCTAAAACCTTCTCAACGTCGAAGTTAAGCCTCTTCAATCATATGCATTTAATATAATAATACTCAATGAATTTCATGTGCATTTCTTTGCTTATACACAAAAGTGATCTATACACCAAATTATATTTTATGCATATAAGGTGATAATAATAATTTACTCTAATAAGTTGTAAAAGAAGTTTTTCATTCCTTAAAACCATAAAACCAAACTGGATCAACTAGGTATTTCTCACAACAGATTAGAATCGTTTATGTTTATAAATCTAGAGCGCGGAATAATGGTGTCTCGTGAATCATGATACTAATAGTTTAGCTTCAACTGAACTCATGTTTTAAATGTTTTAAATTAATATAGGTACCTAATCGTATGGGTAATAACTAATTGTACATTTGGTATAACTATCTTTAAATATAACAATAATACAACTTGAAATTTGTTTGGCATTTGATATTATACTAATGCACATATATACAATACACATAGGTAAGTATATCTATCATATACATTAATTTCAATTTAGATTCTTAGTGTAATCTTTCAGTTCATAAACTAAATTACTCTGTATCTTATATTTTCCCAGCTTTCTTATTTACTTACACTACCATGCATGTCATATAAGGAGTGTAACCACTAATTACGATAAATTGGTAGAAAAACTAAATTTTAGAGGCATTAATCGCTTATTCATCCCCTTCAAATAATGAATACTAATGCAATAGCTTACAATAGTGACAATATAAAAAACCCCAAAATCAAATTTGTATTTGTTATTTTTTTATCATAGTCAAGTAGATAATACTAGTACCTTTTTTAAAACAAATGACTGGCCTATGAACTAGCAGTCCACCCCTGGATATGTACACTATGTCCATTCTTTATATAGAATTAAGTGTAGTTGGATAAAATGGAGCACATCAGGTTTAGACAAGAGAATTCTAATAACCATTAAAGGTAAGTAAGTTAAACAAGAATGTAGTGAGATAACATTACTAAATTATACATTGCTTATACTTTAATTGTTGGAAATTTCATAAAATGATTTTAATTAAATAGATACTACTGGATGGAAGTTACACATTTTTTAATTACCTACTTAATGTGTGAACAAATCAAAGCATTTTTACAAATAGAAATTTTTTTGCCAAAAAAATAGTAAACACACATATTAAAGTAAAGCAATAACTAAATACTCTAAAACATGACTTACCACTATTACTCTTTGTCAACAGTTTTTTAAACTACAGACTTGGTATTTGAGTAAGTAACCACTTACCTAGTACTGTTGAATGTCGATATTCCTTGCATCTACAAAAATTTAATACAATTTTTGTTGAATAAAAATGTTTTAATTTGTGTTTGTATCCAAAGGTGTGCTGAAGCCAACGCTATGAATGCATTATAATGCAGTTCCAGTTCACATGCAAGGAAAAGAAGTTTATCATTCATGTTAAAAAACAAATTGTATATAAACCAATTAAATAACCATAACATAAACATATTATATTATTTATCTACACGTTTGAAAAAAAAATCTATATTCTGGTTCAGTACATAACTAATCAATTTTGAAAATTGGTTGAAGAGTAAAAAAATAAATAACATAAGGCATAAATTGAGCCCTTCTCAAGGAGAGGAAATATTGAGGTTATAAACTTGTATAATATTTTAGCCCCTCTTGAGAAAAATAGTGTTTCTGCGCCTCTTCAATAACATTTGTTGTTAGATAGGTTTAGGTACCTAAGTAGATAGTTGGGTACTTATCATCAATGACATAATAATTTGATACCAAAATCACTGGGTTATAATTAGTGTTATATTGCATATAATATATTATGCATTCACAATCATATTTTCACCTACCCATGGAGATAAATCTCTTTAACCCTCCTAGCCAAACCAGCATCCAGTACCTAATGAAATAGTTTCTCCATAATAAAATATAGTTATCAATTCTATGGTACATAATAAAACTTATTAGTTTACTTATATTTATTGGATTTTTAGATATAGATAATAAAATAAGTACCTAAATTAATGTCAATATTCTTCATATATTCAAATGAATTATGAGCTATATAGACCAGGTTTCATTTCACTACTTGTTTAAAAATATACTGTATTATTAATAATTATAAAATCATCACATTATATTTTTTAACACTAAATAAATTCAAACAATATATTTTAACTTTATATAACCATTAGGCACTCAGTCTTTAAAATACCTTGCACAATATTATTATAATTGAGTATTATAAACTTTAATAAATTATTTAGTACAGCCTAATACAATAGGAAAACATTTAAATTTGTTATACTTATAATATAAAGTACTTAACTTTATAATAGGTACTAATACATCAGTGGCGGCTCATGCTATGGTGCACAAGAACAGTGCACCACCTACAATTTTAAAAACTATACATTATTATAATACTATAATATAAAAACCTATTATTAATTATTATAATATATATTATAAACTAGAAATACATTCATATTTATTTGAGACAAGAATACAAATTATTTTATGGAATTAATGAAATACTAATTGTGAAATTTGAGAAAAACAAGTGTTATGTGCCATTATACACAATACACAGCGTCCACAGCAGTATCAGTCATGGAATACGACAGGCAATTACAATTTTTGTACCAGGCGTGCATGCGCATTTGACAATTTCATTTCCACTTCTGGTACAACTACCATAAGACATAGTGGTGTGTAAGTGCACAAAGAATTATTGAACCGCCGGCTGCCGTAATCCCATACAGCAATACAGCCATCCACCGCCGCTGACAAATAATATCATGCAGTGGGAGCTGATTATTTTTTTGAATAGTATTAAATTTATCCGGCGAGTGACGTTATCTCCAAAAATACTCTATAGAAAATACTGACCAACATTCAATTCCTAAATAATATATAACAAAAACAAACATAATTCCCCAATATATTGTAGATTTCTATCTAAGAATCCCATGTACAAAACAAATACAAATATATTCATATTTCAATACAATATTTGTTTTACAAAAATATAAATTATTAAAACTAAATTTAGTCCACAAGTTATTGTCCAGAATATATTAATTTTAAGTAAAATACTAAAAAAAATTTTTTTTAAATATTATACAAACATAATAGTACTATCACATATTATTCCAACAAAATATAAAAATTGGTAACTATAATTATTATTTGATAGTAGATATACAAAAATAGATAAAAAATTATTTTCTCCAATCAACCAATTAACCAAAACCATTCAAATTATAATTTCCCATTTAATATTATAATATTTAAAATTAAATTATTCTATGTTTGTTATAAAAGGAGGTTTCCATCCACCAAATATTTTTTCTAAGTGATTTGCAACAGCTACACACAACCTATCTTGGTGCATACCAGCAACCACCTATAAAATAATAATTAATGAAATTAGTTTAAATTTGCACTATTATTAACATTACTCCTCCTGTGGGAGTGGTTTAGATTATTCCCATGGAATGACAAACTATCACAAAAGATCAAAGCCGATGTAAAATTCTATTAAACAGTGTAATATATTTTATGTGACAAGAGAATTCCAACAAGACTTAACAAGTTCAACAAAAGTGTGATTATAGCAACTATGGTGTATGGTTTCAAGTGTTGGGTAGTAGACAGAAAAATAAAACAAAGAATAAATGTAGCAGAGATAAGGAAGAGGAATGAGTAAGAGGTATCTTAAGTGAGGCTTCGATAGTTAACAAAATGAGAGAAAATTGACTGAGATAGTTTGGCCATGTTATTGGGAGAGGAATCAGAGTAGTAATAAGTTGTAATAAAAACAAACATAGGAAGAAAGTCATGGAGAGGAAGACCAAAAAAAAAGTAGTTGGGTGAAATTAAGAATATGAGGACAGCCGGTGTACGCGAGGAAGAGATCAAGTTAAATAAAAGTTTAGCCTACCTTAAATAATTGAGATGAAGCCGAAGAAGAAAATTTACATTATTCTAATAAATATATCATATAAGTCAGTTTAACATACCTGTATTCCTAATGGTAAACCATTTTTACCTAAGCCAAGAGGCACTTGAGTGACTGGTAATTTTAACACATTGAAAATAGCCCAATAGGCAAAATTGTATGGATGTAAAAACGGTTCACAATGATGTTTAGCTGTGGTTGGAGATGAAGGGAATAGTAGTACACCATCATCATTCAGTAATGTCTAAAACATAAAAACAATAAATACTAAAAACAACTTACACAACACACATCACTATCAATTATTATTTGTATTCTATAATCAATAATAACTACTAAATAAAAGAACGTAATGTAGTACAAATTAATTTAATTATTATAATGTAAAGAAAATAATAATTTATTTTTAATATTTGAACCAGTTATATCATATTATAGGTATTTGTATTTTTTTTATTTGATAAAGTAAATTACAAATCTATACAAGTATATACATTCTGCAATTGGGATGAAAAATATGAGTAATAACATTGAGTATTTAGAATATGGAAAATTACCCAGTGGTAACACTCAACACTTATTTTTAAAATTAAATATAAGTAGATTATAAATTTACCGATATTTCATTTGAAAGTTTTTCTGTTTCAGCGAGAGCCCAGGTTTCATTTACTTTCGGTAATTGCATATCGATTAATTTTAAAACTGCAGCTAAAGTATGATTTGAACGACATAAAATGGTTTTTGGAACTTCTGACCAAACAGAAACTCTAGACTGTAATAGTAATATAAAAATAATCAATTTAAAATTACTTTTTAACTTAATTTAAATTAGTTACTTGATTATTTCCCAAAGCAGCTGCAAAATCAGATTCTTCTTCTCTTGTCATCCAATACCTCCATAAACTATAACTGTATCTTGTTCCGGATAGTTTTACTTTAAGTGGAGGCAGTTCAGTTATATCAGTTATAGATTTCACAGCACGATCTAAAGCTATTTGTAAATCATCACTAATAGGACTAACTCGTAAATCATCAGGATCATTAACATAATAATATTTCAAACTAGACAGATCAACCTAAAAAAATATTACAAATTTATTATTAATAAAATTATGATTTTTTTTAAAAAAACAACAATTTTCTCAGTTTTAATATAATATTTAAATGTACCAACTTGATAAAAACAAATTTTGAATTATTATACTAGATTTAGTCAATACATTCAATTTGTGTTATTTCTGTCTCACAAAATGGATCAATGTTTTCTCTAAATTGTGAACTTTTACACTAAATGGACACCTAATTTAAACACTATAGAATTTTTTACATCAGTTGAAGATCAACCTAGATAATTAATTTATGGTATATTAATAATACTTTGATACTAGATTTTTAATTTAATTTATTATGTGTTTATTTCGATAAATAATAAAATAATAATGTTTAATATCAAAATACTGGAATAAATGTTGTTGTAATAATAGAATTGTATATTTTATACTTTAACAATTTTAATTTTTTTTTTTTATATAATATTATTAATATAATAACATTACTATTGATTATTTAACATTGACAAATATATTCAAAGCTAATTTTATTAATTAAATTTAAATTCAAAATAATTTAAATGAAACCAATGATAATCATTTTACAATTGAATTAAAAATGATCATATAATATTTAAAAAATGTACATTCTGTAATTTATAATGAGTTATAACTACTACTGTTACTATATTTTAATTAATTTGACAAAGATCAGTAGTAATCATTATAACTGAATTGGGTTTATTAAATAATTAAACTATTAAAATATTTAACCTATTACTAGTATTTATTTAAACAAGGTGGAGAATTTGATATTATATACCTATAATTAAAATAAAATAAAAATTAAGTATTATTTATTTTAGTTCATTAAAATTGTTAAAATGTTACTTGTACCATTTTATTAATTGAATTTTGTATTCTCCCTGATTTTAGTCAATTATTCCCTCAATTTGTATATTACTTTTATGTAAATTAAAATTGGTATGGAAAACTGTTATGACAATTTAATTTGAATGCTATATTAAACTTCACTGTTTCTAAAATCTTAAACAATTTTTATTAGCTTCCAGTTTTTAGGTAATTTCTAATAGCATATTTGATGCAGTTAATCTTATTCTCAAATTAATAGATGAATCATATACCCAATATAGAAAAAAAACAGGGATCCATTGTACAATACAGACAATAATGTAACATATACAAGGTGATCAATTTATCATAAAACACTCATTATTGCAGAAAATATTAACTTTTTTATTTTATAGAACATTTAAGAAACAAGCAGCTCTACAATTTTACATTTGTTATTTTTTGTTACCTTTATTTTTGAGAGTAAAACTACTACCTAATTTTGATTTTCAAATAGCAGCCTACATTAAAAATTTCATAAGTATATGGAATATTAGTTAAAATAAATAATAGTATAGGCATTTTTCATCCGTTAACGAGATATTCCACTTTTTAATTTTGGATCGGGGGAGAACAGTAAAATGTATTTTAACTAATATACTATATCTATTTAAGGAATTTGTAATATAGATTGCCATTTGAAAATCGAAAATAGATAGTGGTTTTACCTCCAAAAATAAGGGTAACAAAAAATAACATATAAACGTAAAACTGTAGAGCTTCTTGTCTCTTAAATGTTCTATAAAACAAATTCTAAAAAAAAATTAAAACTTTCCAATATAATTAATGTCTTACTATAGATTGATCATCATGCACAGTACATATTCATATTATAGCAAAAGAAAATTATAATAATCAAAATAATTAAATATCATTTTACCTCTTGGCTAATTTTGAATTCCAAAGATTTTTCTGGTCCAAGAAAAGCTTTAATTACCGGTATTAGATCTTGAGCATATTTAGTTAAAGGTCCTGCACTGACCATTGTATGCTTTTCTGTACCTTTTCTAAATGTCATACCTTTGGTGTTTATAAGTCCTAAACAAATTTTAAAACCAAAATGACAAAATAGCAATATGTTGTTAAATATATTTTATCTAAACCTACTACTTTTAAAAGTGAAAATAAAATTTGTATAACTTCCTGCATATCCAGTTTAAAATAGCAGTAAACCATACAAAGAGCACAGAGGAAGAAAAATAGTAGTCCATTTCTTCAATTCTGATAATAACATTTGATGGTGCTTTGAAACTATTATCAAATGTTGAGTTTTATTTGATGAACAAATTTTAATTGGGTAATTTTGAAGGTAAAATATTGGATATAATGGTTGCAAAATAATGTGGTCCATAGAGCAGTTGAAAAATTTAAATCTGCTGAACAATTTTCAAAAATAGATTAATAGCTCTCCTTCCCCTGTACCATTCATATGTAAATAAAGAACAAAGTATCTAAAATAAATTAACAAACATGATCTATACGAATTATTGCAATTTTTAAAACAAAATTCAAAATAAACAAATTATTAGCTTACCTGTTGTTAACTTATGCCCAAATAAACCACAATTGAATGCAGGTATACGTGCAGATCCGCCAATATCTGTACCAAGACCCAAAGGACTACCACAAGCTGATATTATGCTAGCCTAAAATAACAAATATTCTTTCACTATATGTTTTATTAAACTTGATAATATATTAACAGTACTTCTCCTCCAGAAGAACCTCCAGCTGTAAAATTTGTATTATATGGATTATTTGTTTGTCCATAAACTTTATTTCTTGTTTCACACCATAAGTTTATTTCTGGGACATTTGTTACTCCTATGAGTATTGCACCAGCCGTTTTTAAAGATTTAACAACTTCTGCATCTTCATTACATTTAATGCCAGTTCTAGATAGCATACCAAAAGTCCAAGCCATTCCTTTCGCTCCAGTACTTTCTTTAGATGTAAATGGTACACCAAATAATGGTTTACCATCAAAAATTAAATTAATTTTTTCTTCTGTATCAGCCAACTCAATGAGTTTATCATACTCATCAGCTTCACTTAAAGCTTTTTCAAAACGTGTATCAACCACAGCATTTAAGATTGAATTCACTTGTTTAATTCGTTTAATGAAACATTCAGTAACATGACGACACGTAACTTCTTTATTTTTAATCTTATTGACAATAGTTGAACAAGATTCAAGAACTAGTTTATCCTCTACTGGCGGTAATGTTTTTGATGGTGTATCTTTGTATACATAGTCAAAAACAAATGATACAATGTAGTCATAGATGAATCGAATAAATGAAAGTACATATAACAAACAGTTACAAGTATTTGATGTTCTTAGGTTCTTGGCCGGCGAACGACTCTTCCTCACATGAACTTTTTCCACTTTTTCCTGAAAAAATATACATTGTATAAATATATGTTTTATATTGCTCAAATTAATTCAAACCTTATTGCTAATTTAAAATGCCTAATAAAGTATGGAACAATAAAAAATACATTATACATTATTCATTATTTTAAAATGTCATTTACTAAACGAATAAATAATAAATACTATTTAAATATTTTACTGTTTCAACTGTTAAGAATTATACAATAATAAATAAGTACATAGTTAGGTATATTTAATATATTTATGTATTGTTAGGTTTTAAAAACGGTGAGTAATAAATGAACAATTATTATTATTAGGGAACAGATTTATATCCACTTAAAATCCACAAAACAAGCATTTAAAAACCTCAAAAAGTCCTGGAAAAAACACTTTAAAATATTTTTAAGAGTGTTTTTTCTATACCTTTTTTACGATTTTAAATGTTTTTTTTGAGGATTTCAAGTAGGTATATGGAAATCAGTTTTCTAATTAATATGTAGGCATTAAACATAATAGATATGATAATGATTTTAATTTTAAATTATTAGTATTTATAAAAACTATAGAAAAACTTATTTATAAAAACTGTTTTTAGTTTAAAAATTATGTATAACGCAATTAGCAACCATTTTTATTTTATTTTAATGAAATTTAAAATTGTCCTCTATCTATAAAATATCAACTTTAATCAGACAATACACGAGAACAAGACAAAATATATATAATTGAAAAAAAAATCCAAATTGGTACCATTCGCAAGGCACATAAATGTAAACTACCAAAATTACACATACCTGGTAGTTAATAATTGTACCTAATTTAACATAAAAAAATGAAAAAAAAAAAAAAAAATGTAGGCACAACATACCATTTAAGTCTCACCACACCATTATTTAGTAAGTTCATTCGTATGAAATAAATCACCCACCTCGATAAACCATTACATGACTCATTTAAAATTAAAACTCGATATTATTTAATAACAATAAATAATATCTGTATATCTGTTATCTTCAGTTGTGAACGTTAATAATAAATGAAACGGCTATAATTTTCATTTGTCATTTATTTTATTCATTAATAATGACATTATGTATACAATTGTTGCATATTATACAAATATGCAGGTAATAATAAATTCCACGGTGCCTCTTAAAAACAAAATGGACAACGGAACGGAACGGCAGTATTGTATTTTGTATTTTTAATTACTCTGTCGAACGGCAATACCAATATCACATTTAATATTACGAATAATAGAAGCTAATGCAATCCACAATTATGCACAAGTAAACTGTAACACAAAACAATACGTTTGCAGCCAGAAAATAGAGTAAAATTAGTGATTAGTTTTAATTATCCAATCAACAGTTGGCAACGGTAATTGTGTTGCGACAAAATAGGTCTCACAGTACTATACAATAGAGAAACCCCCGTTCAAAATCATAGTCGATAATGTACAATATGGGTAGGCACAATATTTCGTAAGTACGTGCCCGTTGATACTTCGGTGAACGATTATTAACAAGACAAAAACAATTGACATTACCTTTTTATTACCGGCCATTGTTTCCTGAAGATGTCGCAGAAATTTAATTAACTTTAACGAAAAAAATTCGAAAACCGGGGAAAATATCAACGGTGGGCTATGGGTAAAGTAGTCGTGATGCCCGTGCAACAACAATGTACCAATAACTGGGCGGGGTTAATAATTATGTTCGCGGTTGGGTAGGAATCGCGATCGCGAGTAGTTAGTTGCAGTGCACACCGGTTCGCGCGCGCCACAGAAAACGAAACGAGAACATCGTTCGGTACGTTTTCCGCAAAAAATTACAAACACCGAACGCGAATTGTCGTTGGTAATTGATAACGCACTGACGTCGAAACGTCCGGACAGGGTTAATTAACCATTAACCATGCAGCAACGGCGGTATTCTGTTATCGCGGCCCCGCAGACGGGGTATTATCACGGATGTAGATAATTGTTCCGCGCTACCTGCGGCCAGCTGGCCGGCGAGCACGACGCGTATGAATATCGTATTACGCGCGGATCACCGGGTAAAGGTCCGTGGCGCCGACATAGATAACTATACTACTATATTTATTATCTACGTCCGTGATTAGACTGCGTGTTGCAGAAAATAATTGCGTCGCAACCGCGATTCCAGGGGTCCTTGACCGCGGTCGCCACACGCCGAAGTCGTTCGAAATAAGCGAGAAACGGTGTTTTATCGAAGTTACTGTTCCGAAATGCACCTGCCCGCGACGATAATGGACGGGTTTCGGCGACCCTCGGTAAACGGTTTGTTGCGTTCCGTTCGCCGTTGTGCCGCGCTACTCGGTCGGCCACTCGCCAAAACGTTTTCGTTACGGATTAAAACGAACGAACGAACGAGACACTCTCCGTCGGCAGACTGTTTATCGGTGACCGAAAACACCGGGCGAACGGAGTATTCGGTCGTTTGCCGATTCCGCGACAACCCGGCGTCGTCGAAAAGTGCGCCGCCGTAACACGCCTAATGCGTATGCACGTAACAAATAATAATAATACACGAATACGTAATTCAATTTCTTATAATGTTGCGTCATTAATTCTCTAGACGCACGAAAACAGTGAAATCGTGTCACGCGCTTATGGTGCGGAACAAACTGGTTTATTGCAGTCCGGTTATTCGTGGGTCGACGATTGATTCTGGTAATTGCAAGGTCTCAAGTTGGCGAAAATATAACAAAATGAAATGCAACACAAAGAAACTACTGGGCTCGGGCCCATATTGTTCAATCACGGCCGCAAGCACACGCCAACGGTATACGACATCGGCGTTTTTACTAGTCCGGCAGACCAATGGTTTTCAACCTGCGGGGCGCGGGCCACGAGGGGTTCCCGGGTCGGGGGGTCGCCGAAAACCACGGGCATTACGTTTACCGTGTATCGTATTGTTCAAGTTTTGTCAAACGATTTTTTATAGAGGTCATTAAAACAATGAAATCGGGGTGTCGCGTATAAGGTTAAATAAAAACCACAACCGTTTACGACATAGATGGTCGGAAAATAATTTTTATTGTTTTTGGAGTTGGAGTGATAACTTGTAACCAAAGACCGGATTTTTGTGCAGCAAAAACGTGCAAAACTAAATGTTTGGTGTATCGGTAGTTTAATTTAATAACAATTCGTTCAAAATACTTAATTCAAATTTTATTTTTGTCTTCGAAATATTACTGAATATACGTATTTATTTTTCATTATATTATTATTTATGATTGTATTTGGAGACTGCAGGGTATACATGTATTATAGCCATTCGCATGACGGTCGCATATCATCCTTACCATAATAAAGATAAGTTTTAAAACTGTACAATAAAGTATCACGGATTGCAAAATAATAATATATGTGTAATTCTTGTAATACTTAACTGATTATTACGAAAAATACAAATAAAAATCGAGAAAATACGAATTCGTGCATTTTAATGCGAAATCGCTGAAACGGGTAATTTTGTGCAGAATAAAATATCGTTTAAATTAATCTACTTCACTTGATAAAAGTGACGAAACCAGCACGATTTAACCACGTGATTAAAAAGACGAAACCAGCAGTAAAGGCTGGCGATTGCCACCCTTCTTATTTAATTAATGGGTAATGGTGGATCCTTGACGGATACCCGAAAGGAAATCTGACTGGGGCGATACTTTATGGAGGTAATTTTTTAATTTTCCCAATAGTTTTCCCGGTACATGTGAAAAACCGGAATAAAACATAGGAACAACGGGAAAGTCGGTATAATATTAAACAAATATTATAAAAGAAAATATACAATGCCTATTTAATTATTTTACCACAATATGACATATTATATATTGTTGGCAAAGCATCACTATGAACTGAACTCCGCTCAGAATCGGTTTTTCGCTAGCAATTTCTTTGCTTATATATTTATATTGAATTCCTTTCTATATCCTACCTTCCCAACTTCCCACCTACAACAGTGGTTACACCTACGTGCAAAGTATGCCCGTTTTTTAATTAGTACATAATATATTCGTGTGTATATAAGATACACGTCTACTGGAGCATAACGAATATGTTTTTGTAGTGTGTTGATTTAAATTTTGAATTATTTTTTTTTAAATCTGGATGTAACGAACTTTTTCCTCTGTCCTTTGAAATTCATTATATCGCAAGTAGACTGTATATTTATTAGAAATTTAAACATCTTAAATTGCTCCCGAATTATTTTGGTGAACGCAATATAATAGACATGACAGTAACCATTTTTATATCAATGATGTAAGAGCTAACTATAACGGAGCTATCTTCACAGACATTACATTAATGACGACCGTGGACGTGTAAAATCAAAATGTTTTTAGTTAGCAGTGTCAGATCTTTTTAAAATTGTAATTATTTGAGTTATATCACTATTAAGAGATGATCATTGATTAAGTAATTGACAGGAATGTACATATAATAAATTAAATAACATTATGTATCCTGCTTTGACAACTTTCCACCCACAACAATGGTAAACCCATCAACAGTATCGGTTCTTTTTTTTTTATTATAATTCAAATTTTAATTTATTTATCCATCATTAGTTATTGCAGTTCCTTTGAAGACGGGCCTTTTTCTCTTATCAAATTAAATGTAATCTGTACCTACAAATTATGATAATTTCTTGCAGATAAAATAATTATATTATTTTCAGTGCTCGGATAGGGGAGATGGCGGAGTACCTCGATTAATTTTTCAGAAATGTAAACGTACCTCAACTATTTGTTTGAAGTTGAACGCATAGGACGCAACGGTGGACACAAAACGGGAGGTCAGCCTGACGCTAGGGTTAGGTCGAGTTCAACAATTGTAAGGGATGCTAATTTTGCTCAAGTCTATAGTCCCTTTTCATTTATTTGTCCAGTTCGAGCAATAATTAGTTCAATTTCACACTGTTTAAAAGTTATTTTATTTAATACAAATAAATCTAGTTCACGCGTTTGAAAACATTTTATATAGATAAGCTAACTACAACCTACACATTCATAACATGATGTAATATTCGGCAATTATGAAGTGTGCCAAAATTTTATTCGGACATAATAATAACTACAGAGAGATTTTGTAAGAAATATATACGAATACATGAAAATTCCATAGAGATATATCGTATGACATATACAATATATCGTATCATATACGTATAACCTATACAATATATTAAACACCAAACGTATGTACCTGATAAGTATAGGTACCTACCCAACCTAATATACATTTTGATTGACGACCGCAATATCGTAACCTTCAATATCCATAATGCATATTTTTTTCATATTACCTATTGTCAGTTATGATATTATAATATATTATTATTATCATGCATCGTGAAATAGGTACCAGACTTGTTGAATACTGTATATAATAATAGATGTGTGTATAATGTTAGATTCTGAGTGTAGTGAAGAATGTATTGGTGTTACAAAGTTGTTTATTTTTTTTTTATGTGAACACTTTTTCGACCCTTTTCTTGAAAGAAAATTTTCTTGGGTCGGTACTTTAAAGACGTCGTTTTTATATAATTCCAGGAGTTTTCTCAACAAATGTGAAAAACGGGTAAAATATACGAACTGTAGGAATTAGTTGAAAAATATTTCGGCCTTTTTTTCCCCATGAAAAAAAGTTCTACCATTAATTTTGCTCCGATTTACAACGATAGCACGTTCTCTGAAAGGAAGTCTGACTGGGAGGGTATTTTAAAAATATCATTTTTTGATTTTCTCAAGATTTTCCCAGCAAATGTGAAAAACCGGGAAAATCGGTACAATATTAAACAAATATTATTAAAGGAAATATATAATGCCTACTTAATTATTTTACCATAATACGATACATATAATGTTGACAAAGCATCATTATCGATTGGACTAAGCTCATAATCGTTTTTAGTAAGCAATGGGTCATCGTTGCTTAAAGACACAAATTAATTGCCCCTCTATATCCTACCTTCCCAACTTCACACCAACAACAGTGGCTGCACCCGTCGTGCCTAAGTATGTTCGTCTTTTTCAATAACTGTGTTGTACTTACAGTCAAAAATATTACTCTCGACTAATATTTTGATTCATAGTCGGGTACCATTTAATCTTCCGCGCGGCATGACTGATCGATACGTCGCGTCAGGAGGACAACGTCAGGGTGAGACACGCTGAGATTTCGGGGTTGCCCCCGCCGCACCGAACCACCCCACATCAGTTTCTGGATCATTAACCGCCCGCGGCCGGCGTCGCGTGCTTTCTCGCAGGAAAGACTTAATTCGGGCCGAAGATGCTGGAACGTCTTCTAGTTGACCCTGCTGACCAACTGCCATTTAGCACGCTTACGCATTCTGGAATGGCTGTGTTGCATCTATTCGGCGTCGGGGACTAGCGTCCCCTTAGCTTGTCCGCGATACTTCCGCACGTTTAACGCCGCTCCGTTCGCGGGAGAATAGCCCGCGCGAAACGCTCGCGAGCCACGAGTGACCGGAAAGACGGCACCGAGTCGGCAGCACTCCACGGCCCCCCGGAGCGCACAGGGCCTCGGTAAGTTGCGAACGTAACTCGGCGTGCAGTGAGCACTGCGAAAGAACATGCCACGAATCCTCCGTGAGTGGCTCGTCACATTCACACACCGCGACGTCACTTATGTCGAATCGATGTAGCAGCTAGGCTGACATTTTGTATCCACCGCTCCGGCATATAGAAGTCTCAATGCGGTTGCACGAAAGCCCCATCGGGTGGTAGCCAATCCCCGCAGTCGGAGTGCCAGACTTTTAGCCTTACCAGCAATGTAACGGTGAAACAGGCGCTGCGGATCCGGCGGCCGGGTGCCGCCGTGCCGTTGCCCCCGGTTGAGCTGTCTCGCCATCTCACTAGCGGCTCCATCTTGGAGAGTGCGCCGGATAGACCGCGTTTGCGTTGCTTTTCCCGGCCCGTCCGGTGGTGTTTATTACAGAAAAGAAAAAAAAACATTTAATTGATCTTCTTCTTCTTCTTTTTCGCGTGTCTATCCGATTCCGAATGTTTGTGACCATCCCAGCAATGGCTTCTTTGTCGGTTGCGACCGGAGTTGCGATTTAATCTATAGATACGATAGGCGGGTATTAAAATACCTACTACGTATATCTACTATTATACCTATTCACGGGTTCCGGGTATTACCGATTATAATATATTTGGCATTTTGGTACATTATCCGGGATGGGATCAGTTTTTGCTGGCCCGTGTTTAGAAGACGAATTTCACAATGAAGAAAATTAAAAATAACGCACTAGTATGAAATCGCATGCTGCTTAAACACCATAGCGGTGGATCTGTAGCGTATTCATTGACGTGATCAGTATGTCATGTTATCTTGAACTTGCGTTTTATTCTGACGTCTAACAACGCCGTTTTATTATTTTATTGCAAAACGAATTAGCACCACTTATATTATGAATTATAGTACTGTACTAAATTATAGTCACAAGCGTCCGAGCATGAACTTCAACGAACAATTGATTCAAAATTAACACACGAAGATTATCGGTATAGGTACACGTGCGATCCCCAATCCGGTATAGAAATAAATGTTAATAACGATCAAATCAATTCACACAATTGCATTACATTAAAACATAAGCGAATAAGACTGAACGCACGAGTAAAAATTATTATTTGCATTCATTTAAAAGAGGTGGTTAGATGCGATTGAGAATGATTTCGGAGGACGACGATGTATGGGAGGACGATGTGGGAGATCGAGTAAGTGGAAGTTTAAGACGAGAGTGGCCGACCCCAAATAGTTGGAATCAAGTGGAAATTGTGTTTTATTTGATATAATACTTATATTAAATACAAAATAAACACAAATAGATTTATGAATCTAAAATCAATTTTTTTACAAAAATTATCGGAGGCAATCGGTCGTCGTTTCCGTCAAAATTTAAAAATTTAAAAAGGTTCGATTATCCTTGACGAATCTTGACGTATCCGTCAAATCGTTTGCTATCTGTCTAAACATTATAGTCCGAGAACCGTTCATTGGGTTTGATACCTAGAGGCCACCGCAAAGAAGTGGTTCTCATCGACCTCCAAAAATTGGTTTTTTTCCTGTTATTATTAAAGTAATCATTACCTATATAATTAAATTTGTAATACATTGCAATTTGTTGTTGCGTGTTTTTTTTTTTTTTCACACAAATTCCATACTAAAATTGTTTTTCTTTAAATATTCTTCGATAACGTTTGAAATATTAACAAGTATTTTAATAATGTTGCATAGGTAGATCTAATAGGTAATAGAGATAACTATTCCGTGTATTGTCGTTTATACACTTCAATATCAAATGCTTTATCCCGAATTCTAACATCCACCGATATAACTGGTTATAGATTTATCATTATTATAACTAGGGGTTCTCAGACAATAATACAGGTAGAAACATATTTGACAAAATCGATAAATGGCGAAAACGATTCAGCAAATCGAGTTGAAAAAGGTACCTAACCAGGCCTTGCGCCTGTCGCGATGCGAGGCGTGAATTTTTTGAAAACCTAAAGTTTTTGAGGTCGTAAAGTCAAATACCTACGGGTAGGCATTTTACAAAGTAATGGTAAGACTAAGGTTATTATTTAACACCTACGTAATAAGTACTTTAATACTTTAATACTCCAATAACTGTTTGACGTTTAATTTTAAGTATTAGTAGATTGTACTTCAGCGTATGGATAATGAAAAGATATTAACTACTCAATACATCATCATTACTACTCAGTAGTCGGTATCTGCATTATTACCTATATGCTTATTCGGCGGATATCGCACACATCACATATTGTGTACGATACCTATGACAATATTATATTCATTGTACTGTAGGTGGGTGTTATACATAATGTCGATACGTTGAAATTAAACAGGTGTTGCAAAACATTATGAATAGGTACTGAATAGGAAGGTATCACATTGTGTTGCTATGTAGATCGATAAATTAGAAGCAACACACACTACAACGGTATAGACGGACAACAAATTTGATTTGTTCAATTTGCCGGCTTCACGTGGCATATATATAATTTATTTTCTCCTTCGCATAGGTACTTTCGCCTATATAAGAGTAGACATCCTACTTCTATGTACTATAATTATTAATAAACGCTATTATGTGTACCCATTTACTCATAATTATATACTTGTAATGCGTATTTCAAAACGTTTGTTTCATTCCTTCTATAATATATTAACTTTCATATTTTACCTGCTTGGAACCTATATAAATACTATGCGGCTGGTTTCATCAGATTTCGCGAATAATTCTAAAATACAGATGTTGGCTGTTTATTACATTATGCGTGTACGAACAAACAATTACATTTTATATTATTGCCTATGTATTTTAATTCGCATAATTTTAAAATCATACCTAACTATATTTATATATGTATATATAAATGACATTATTAATATTAATAAAAAATGTATGGATACCTACGTTTAAAATGTATACACATTACCTAGTAACTAGGTCCTAGTATATTACTATAACTACGTTCGGTTTTAAGAATACAGGTACCTAGTACACTTCTGATAAGAAATACACCAGCTATCCACTCTATACTCACAGTAGGTACCTACAAACTGCATTAATTGTGAAGGTGTGGAATCTACACAATAGGGTAAAAATCCATGTAAAAATTGTACACTTTAAAACGAACAATAGGTTGAATATTTAATTCATCTTTTTTGTTTGTTTATTAATGATAAAGGTGCATCAACAATGTCAACGAGTAAGCAAAAGAAAAACATAATAATAATGAATAGGTAAACAGTTGCAGGTAGAATTATATTATATTTATAGTATTTATGATATAGATTCTTGGGTACCTACATTGTGTATTATTATAAACCTTCTCAATAGGTTTTTATCTTTTAAAAACAAAATATGTTAAACAAGCTCGTGCAACCTGAAGAATCAAGAGCTGTAGATAGGCTTGTAACTAAGGCTACAGTGGCGTATTTAGGATAAATTCATTCGATCCATTAATTTAACATAAAACAAAATCTAAAATAATATAAACCGTCATGGCATGCCTTATTATTATCGTTTATTCACAATTATTAACAAAACTACCAGGAAATTAAAAAATGCATCAACGAGACAAAATTTAATACCAGGGTAGGAATTACCACTGAAGTCGATAACCAGAGCAAGATTTTTGAAAAAAACAAACGGGGGAAAAGCACTCTAACACTAAAATACGTGAAAAATAACGTGAAATACGTAACTATACTTTAACACGGCCGCCCGAATTATCCACTTCTTCACTAATTATTTGTCACAAAAAAAATCTGGAAAAAAACATAGCTTGGTTGTACAGTATAACTTGTACTTGTATAATTTTATTTAAAAACAATTAAAACTTAAATTATAGGTACAGAATAAGAACTATTATGACAATAAACTCTACTATACATCTCGAAGTAGGTTGATAAATTTAAAAAAAAAAACCCACACATACAGTAGTAAAACCAGTAAATTCATCTCTCAGAATTTAAAAGACAAAAGTTTCCAAAAAAATATAGATACCTATTGCAGTAGCGTCGTGACGAGACGAGAACATTGCATTTATTTCTGGGGCGACCGCCCCTAAAAAAATGTGTTTTGGTGTCTGCTGAAAAATGTCGTCTAGAATAGAATATGAATACATTAGACTAGATAAAACAAATATGCAACGCAACATACTAGGTACACGGGTATTATTGTCGTATGCGGTCTACTTTATATTTTTGAAATTAAATTAAAATATGAACAAACGCATAAATGTATAAATAATAGAAAAAAATAAATAAACGTATTTATTTATACATAATGTATAATAGTAAACATCATTTAATAACACATGCCGTAATTGTATTATCTGATAAATATAAACACAATTAATAATTTGTATTAATTTCGTTTACGCTTCATAAATAATAATTATAACTGATTAGGATGAAGTTTAATTGTCGAGTCGGTAGGAATGACTCAGTATAGATGCGTGGTAGATGAAAAATTGTCACCGCATACGACAAGAATCGACATAATGTGAGTGTTGAATAACGGGCGGACTTCTGTAGTACCTTTGTTGTTGTAGTATAATTTGGAAGTTTTTCACGTAAGTACCTCGTATTATTGTGTCATAAATGTTAACACGACAAAGTAAATACTGTTGCGCGAAAAAAATTAGCCAGTAAATTGTTCCTATGTGCTCAATTTTTTTTTTTTCTATAATTTTCGCCGATCTAGGTATGATTAATTTTATTAGAAAGTCATCTTAATAATGGTACAAACTATTTTATCTAATATATCATGATCAATTAGGGTAATGAAAATTCATATAAATATTTTTCAAACACTTTGTTCTGTGCAGGGAAGAACTGAAGAAGAGCCCAAGTCAATTTTCTAGTTTTCAATGCAAGCTAATTAAATTTTGAAAATATATACACTTGTAGGTACATGGACAGTTACACTAATACAGTAGCAACGTATAATAAGTAATTTTGAAAATACATAATTCTATGCAAAAAAAAAAAAATAAAAACAAATTACATTAGGTGAAACAAAAAAAAAACGCCTACAGTAGGTATTTCTTCTCTGAGGCCAACGATGCAGCCTAGAAACTATGGTAATTATGTGTATTATGCGTTTTTATAATAAGAAAATTATTGACTTTTCGTGGGTGTTGTAGGTTTTTAAGGGGTGAATACTTCAAAAATGTGTTCGCCCCTACTAAATAATATTTTTTTACCACGCCACTGACCTAATGAATTAGGTACCTACTTACTTGTTTCGAAAGTGCCTAAAATAACTTAACAATTGTAAGTAAAAATTTGAAGGCAATGCAATTATTATGGCATTAAATTTTAGAAATGTAATGAGTAGGTAATTATTTTAATTTTATTATTTTAAAAAAGTAACTTGCTACGTTTGTAAAAAAAGGTAGGTTACCATAATAATATCATATAATAGTGTACATGATTTATGGATTACAATGTTATGAAGTGTTTTATAAAAAAATTTTGGTTTTAAATACTTGTATGCGGCATTTAAAAATAATATTAATTGCGGTGTTATGGTTATATTTTTCGTCTCTAATGTTTTTTCTGAAAACAAAATTGTGTACCTTACCAGTTACCTATGTTGATAATATTACACCTACCTACCTAGTATCCTATATTCACCTACTTATTATACCTATAGGTACCTAACCCAATTTTTAGTTTTTGTTCATAATACAGCAGGTACACTTAGCAGAGCACTATATATACATAAACAGTGACGGATCCAGGGGGGGCACAGGGACACGTGCCCCTCTGTAAATAGATTAAAGTTTTTATTTCTATATTTTATATTAATTTAAATACATTTAATTTACCAACAACGGTAATATGACCAAAGAATAGTACTATAATTTATAATAATTATTATTGTAGGTAGATATAAACTATAATTGTACAATTTAAAACGAATATTTTCATATTTTGCATCATTATTTATTTAATAATTGCATTAATGTAGGCCGCGGGGTCAGAAATATCCATTATCTATGGCCAGAAAGGTTTTTGAATTTGATAAGAAATATTCTAAAAATATTAGAAATGAGACATCGAACCCGAAAAATTCGCATTTATTAAGCAATTATTAAATGGCTATTTGACAACCAGAACAAAAAACACATACTGGACTGTAAGCGAACAAGTAAAACATTGCAGTCAATAAATTCGTTATCATGATTTCTAATCATTCGCGAATATGAGGTTATGTTGTTTTTCGTAAAATCTTTTTTTTTTTACTCAGAAATCGATAATTGCCGATAACCACAACATACCTATCTATGGTACTGGTACTGACTAATACGCATGAGAGTGTGTGCCGCTAACATTTTTAATGCATTGGTATTTTATTCGTTGAACGGCGCACGTTTAAATTAAAACATTGGAAAGAATATTTTTAAAAGTTTATTGCTAATAATTAGTAGGTATTACTTGAGTTCCTGCAGTCAAGAGGTGAGTTATCTTTCCCCCTCTGTTAATGTGTGTACGTCCAGGGTCACAAGGTGTTTCAAGTTTCGTTTCATTGGACATTGGCGAGATGTAGAATTCATTTGCTCAGCGGTTATCCGCTGGTTAACAATGGGCTGAATGTGTACCTAGTCCTATACTCTTTTGCCTACATTTACCCATTTCAAAACAGTTAAGCAGTATACGAAATTTCAAATTGTAGTTTAATAAAAGTTGATTCGTTTAAAAGGTGAAATGGCTGCTGATGATTTCTTTGAAGGAGCCGAGAAACTATTGGAAATATGGTTTGGCCATCAAGATGGAAAAGTAGAAAATGGGGACTTGAGAAAAATACCAAGGTAAACTATTTAAGTGTTTAATTACTATTTTCTAAACAGATAGTGCTGTGGGTGATTTTAGCCCTTTCAATTTCTCAATTTTTCTTGTTTCATTTCATAGTATTTAATGGTACATGTGTCATTAAATTTTAGCCTGAATTTTCAATATAATAATTTTAAAATTTAAAAAGTATTTAAAAAATTAAATAATTCGTAATATGAATTATTACATATTTTTAAAAAATGTAAAAAATAATTTTCATTAAATTTAAAATCACCTACTAATTCATCTATAATAAGTTAAATACTAATTGCTTAAATGCCTAATTATTCGGTAGATGTACTTATGTATGGTTATAATTCATCACGAGTCATTAAAAAAAAAGTAGATAGATAAAAAAAAATTGTAAAATTTTAACAGCTAGTAGTTACTAATCGGGTAATATAGAATAAATTATTATAATCATGTATTCGTATCTATAATCAAATAATGCTCATCATTATTAGATATTCTAACCTTTGTCTTATATTAATATAAATTAGATTTGATAAATGTATTGACACTGATATGTAAAATATTAGATAATAAATAAAGATAAAATTAATTAATTACCTACAATTTAACATCTTTGTATAGTTCTTATTAATTTCATATTTTCAGTAAAACTTGAAACTATTTTAGTTATTATAAATTCAATTAGTTATACAATTTATACACAAATGTATGATATTAGTTGTTCACAAAATATTTCTTATATGTATCTTGCTAGTGGTGACTATCTAAAAGAAATTATATTAATATTGAATCTTTAAAATAATTATTATATACCTAATAGACATGCTTAATTTGAAAGAAATGTCCAAAGAAAATAACAAATGCCTAGTTTCATTGATATAGTTTATTTTATTTCTGGATGTTTAATAAAGCAATCAAACAAGTGGCATAGTAGTTTATGAAAAATAATAAAAATAATTATAGGTACTTAGTTTTTATTTGTATTATACAGGATGTATGGGGATATAAGTACTTCTAATTTGGGCTATCCTTAAGGCATAGGACAGGCCCTGGACATCACAGTTTTTACATATATTTGGACCTGCACGTTTGAAAAAATTATAAATTATTATAGTATAATAAAATGTGAAAATATTTAAAATTTCGCCTTGGGCCTTGCAAATCCTAACTTCCAATAATTTTATTTTATATGAAATAACAAATTCTAATTCTTATTTTTTCTTGTGTTGGTTAACTCAGTTTTCAAATATATTTCTTTAAAAACAACAATATTATTTTGGTGCAATATTTGGGTACAGTCCAATTATTTTCGGCGCCAAAAATATGAAATAAAAACATATTCCCAGTATGCGAAGGTTAATAAGTTTACACAAAATAAATAATAATAAGTTAATATTATAAATTACATACTTACTACAAAATTGTAAACCTATAAGTGTTATTTACACATTTTTCATATGGTCACTTATACTACTTAGCTAACAAAACATAATTTATTTTATCATTGTCTACGATATGATATGTTATAAAGAATGCCCATTGTGTTTAATTAATACAACAATAGATAAGCTTATTTTATAGGATTTATTACTATTAAAATTAATTTACGCTGCTTACTATAACTATACATTATATACAGTACTTGTATTTCAGCGATAAAAAGTACGTACCTGTAAAAATACATATAAAACATATCTGTAATAAGTATCTACATACATTTAAAATCATATAGTTTATAATTACCATCGATTATATTTCATTATTTAGTTAATACATTTTAATTAATATAATTTAAAATTAATCTGAATTAACTTAAATTATTATTTATAATTTTGAGTTTTGTACACTTAATAAATAATTGTTTTAGGTACCCTATATTTAGTAATTGTTGTTAAACATTTAGATTGTATTTAAAGAATATACATTTGTTTTCAAAACTAATGTAGATATTTGGCACTAAATAATTCATACATTTGAACCATTGTTTCATAAAATTATTAGCGTAAGGATTAATGTTTCATACTTTGTAGATTAGATTTTTCAACTTAACATAGGTACCCAATATGATTATTATTAATATATATTATTTCAATACATTATATCATTTGAGTTATTAAATGAACAAAGATAAATTAGATTAGGTAATACAAAATTAAGACAGTTAATACTGTTTGTATAAACCTATACCTATGGGCAATGACCTATTGGAAATATAGATAACTTAATTTAGATATAAAATTTGCATGTTATAATATCCTGTAATAATCACCCAGTTTAATTAATCAATTATTTGTTTTAGAGAAAAATATGAAAACCTTTTGAAAGCAGCCTGTTGTGAAGTGATCAGTTATACTAGTAATGATGAGATTGATGCCTATGTCTTAAGGTAAATAATGAAAAATAAAATCTAATACAATTGCTATTGAAAATAAAATGTAAAAATCAACTATTTGGTTCATTTTTTGAACAAATTCAAATAGTTAAGTTATTATTGTAGATATTTTAAAGTTATGTATTACTAGTTAGTTATTATCACTAAATTAAAATGTTGTTTTATAAATAGGTTAATATTTAATTAATACATTTTGCGTGAAGTTGAGAATATATTGGTTTTACTATTGAATGCTCACTCTCACTGATCGTTTTTTTTTTTTGATGACATAAAATAAAAATTGCCCTAACATATTTGACATAAGGTCAAATGTGGTAAGAGAAAGCCATTTTTCAATCATAAAACTACCCAATTACTGATATGCCACTGGTGTCAGATAGCCACTATGAAGTATGTAGTAATGTACATTCAGCAGTGGTAAATAATAGTAGTGCTTTTTACAGGCAAGTAGCTAGGAATTTTTTTTTTTGATCGGGAGGGGAGGGGGTTAACATACAATTTATCCCCAAACTCCCAATAATCTGATTTTTTAAGTAAGAAACTTATATTTGAGGGTGGGGTTCTAGACTCCATGGCCTTCCTGGTTACATGCCTGGCTTCATAGCACATATTACTATTCTACAGTGAGCAATATATCATATAATATATTATATATTGGTTGTCCCACGAAGATATTCCTCTTGAAATCTCTGGAGATAATAAAGATAATTAAATCATATTTTTTTATGTATATATATATATTTATATATTATAGAAATTTTTTATTTTATTATTTTTGAAAAATTTTAATGTATCACACATTTATATCCGATGAACATTTTCTAAGTAACAGTTATTTTAAATTTTACTAATCCATGTGAAAACCAATGTTATCTAGAAAATAACTAACTGTATTTTGCAAAAAACATTGGCTAACATTTTTCAAAAATAATAAAACAAAAAGTTATTTTTTAATAAAAAAAAAAATTATAAATTTTATGAAAATTTGTAGTTTTCATCCATTGTGAGTAATGTAAAAAAAAAAAAAATATATTTAATTTGATTATCTTTATTATCTCCACAGATATTCAAGGGGTATATCTGTGGGACAGCCCAGTCTGTATAGCATTTATAATCAATAGTTTTACAATAATATAGGGGTTTTTTTTTGTTTTGCTACAATAATTTTTTTAAATACTAGATGTAGTAGAAAATATTATGTATATATATTATATGTTACAGTAAATGTTGTTATAATTATACTTTTTTGTGTATAAAAACTGATTGTGTGCTGTTAGTTTTAACATTAGTGTCTTTGCTTATTATTAAACAATATTACAATTTAAAAATCATCCTATCTCGCTTAAAAATTAAAATATCGAGAAATAACCAATGTATTACACAAACAATATTCTCACCTTTAAGTTTGATAATAAGCCAACACACTCTAATATTAAAATTAATGACACAAAATGGGTTAATATATAATTATAACAACATTTATAGTAACATATATAACATACATATTATATAACTAATAAAGTACTTTAATATGGCCATTTTTAGAATTTTTCAGTAGTTTTTTCTGTTATTTGTTAAATGAATGCAAAACATTTAGTATAATTGACAAAATACCTGAAAACTCAAGATAGATAATGGTAGGAAATGTTAAATATTTTTTGGTAAAAATACAATGTGTAATTAATTTGCTAAGATTAATTATTCAGTACGATATATATTAAGTTCTACAATACTCAGGGTCACAAATCATTATAATTTCAACCCAGTTAATTGGAATACCTATTTCAAAAATATTTAAAACCAAGGACTATTAAAAATTAATTAATAAAAAATTAATTTATAACAAACTATTTCAAATTTATTTTATTCATATACAATGTTCAGAACAGTATTATATAAATAAATTATTCTAAATTGGACAAATTAATAATTATTTATGATAATGAACTCCACACATTCATGCCACTCAAATCTATATTCAGTGAATTTCTTTCAAAAATTAAAACAATTTTTGTTTAATTTTGACATTGAGATTTCATTTGACGTATGCATATATGAGGGTTGTCCATAAAATAAGGTTCCCAAAGACCTGCAGATGCGAGGAACTCTGTTAGGCTAACAGAGGATTTAACAATATTGATTTGTAGCTTGGTTCCCTTTATCCCAGACATCTTCCGCGAGCTGTCTGTGATGCTCAATCTTGGCTGGGCAGCCATTAGAGACTTAGCTTCCATTCACTTTTTCCAATAGGTATGAATTATGCTCTGTGATTCGTTTTTTGTGTGCAAATAAACACTGCACTAATGGATATAATTATTCCCAACTGTGTGAAGTCTACAGAGAAAAGTATATGAGCATACAACACATGCGCAAATGGTGTAGAGAATTTGAAGACGGATGTACAGATGTCTATGAAGAACAACAACATTCTGGGCGTCCATCGGTGTTGTACACTCATACACTTTTATCTGTAGACTTCACATAGTTGGGATTGAATGTTTACCAGTTTTTTGCACAAAAAAAAAAAATCACAAAGACGATTCATACACGACAAGAGAAACGAGTGGGAGCTCTATCTCAATAGCTGTCCAGCCAAGACTGAGCTTTGCAGACAGTTCGCCTGGGCAGTAAATGGGAAAAAGAGAGCTAATACACACTGTTGTTATGAATACGTATATACTATATAATAATTGAAAATTATAATATATCCATACATTTTAAAACTAAGTCATTTTTTTTTCTGAAAATCTCAATAAGTTGAAAAAATTGTATTTCCCTAGAATTTCAAATTATTGAGGTTTCACTGTATTATATTTTAAGACACTATTTTATCAATTAGATAGACTTATTATTAAGAATTTAAATTATAATACAATACTTATTTTCCAGTTGTATATTTTTGGCGACTGGTTTTTAATTAATTTAATTTAAATGTAAATAATTTAACAATATTTTTATTATTACAATAAATAATTTAAAATGTTATTTTAATATAAACAATTATACTGGACAATAGTTTATAAAATGCTAACCAATAAAAGATATATTTTAGTTTGTGAAAAAATATTAATGAATATAGTACACATTATTATAAAATGCAATTTGTAATTACAATAAATTTGTGAACTTTACAAATACTATTAAATTGTAATCATGTAATTTGTTATAAGTTACAAGTTTAAAGTTTTATATAATAATACAAAAAGTATTTGCCATAAGATTATAAAAGATTAACAAAGCATGGGGAGTTCCTATCATCTCATTATTTTTTTTTTTTATTTTAATTTTATTTTTAAATATTTAATTAGTTATGATTAAAAATTAAACTACTTTTATATTGATAAGGCGATAAACTAATCTAATTTTTAAGGTGTAATTATTTATAATTAACATCTCTTTAATAAGAGAAAAAAGATTAAGAAATAATATTTTGTACATGTAAAAAAAAAAAAAAAGGAAAAATTAATTGCATCTAACATAACAAACATTGGACTTAAAACAAACATTTTCTCTGGACATATATTTTTTTTGTTTTATAAAATAAGATAAATTGATTTTTAAATTTAAATTTTTAATTATGTAAATTAATTAAAGTTTAATTAATTTAATTTTAAATTAATATTTTTTAATTATACAATACATTTTGATTTAAATATATTTTTAAACACATGCAAATAGAATTAGATTAAATCAGATATCATAATTTTATACCAATGACTTCTTTTATTATTTAGTTAAAAAAAAAAAATGCTGGTTCACAAATAAATCAATAATACATCTATGGCTTAAGAGTTAATAAAATAATTATGTTGCTTTTGTTATAATATTTACAGTGAAAGTAGCATGTTTGTAACAAAACGTCGATTCATATTGAAAACCTGTGGCACAACAACCCCAATAGAATGCATTAAATTATTTTTACTGTATGTAAATGAATTCACTGGATTTGATGAAGTAGAGGATGTTTTTTATTCACGTAAAAATTTTGAAAGGCCAGAACTCCAAAAAGATACATACCGCAACTTTAAATTAGAAATTCAAACTTTAGATATCATATTTAAAGGAAGTATGTATACATTGTACTTTAAATATAAATACACCATTTAGCCAATACAATTTATTTATTATTATTATTATTTATCTGTTGTACAGCTGGAGTGGTACGGTGTATGTGTTCATCAAAAACAAATGATTCTTGGTATTTATATGCATTGCAACCTGTCAAATGTTTTAGCAACGAAAAACAAAGTCCTGATCAAACATTAGAGGTACTCATGACCCAATTAGATCCTAATATAATGCAAATATTTACTAAAGAACAGTCGGCAAATGCTATTCAAGCTACTCAGGTAAACTATATAATAACCAGAATTAACCTAAATACAATTTAATGTCTACATGCTTATACTTTAGAATTCTGGAATATCAGAATTATTGCCAAACATGAAAATTGATGACTTTTTGTTTGATCCTTGTGGTTATTCAATGAATGGTATTGGAAATGAGGTAAAGTAATTTATTTACCTTTTATTATCTATTAAAAAAAAAATAATAATCAACTTTTCGTGTAACACTACATTATTTTTATACTATGAATAATTAATTGGAAAATGAAATTATTTAATAACACTAATATTTTATTAAATGAAATATAATTCAATAATCAATATTTTTTTCTACAGGGACAATATATGACTATTCATATAACTCCTCAACAAGAATTTTCTTATGTCAGTTTTGAGACCAATGTTCCTCAAAGCTCTTACAAAGAGCTTATTTCAAAAGTGCTAAAAACATTCCAACCAGAAAAATGTGTACTCACTTTGTTTACTAACGAGGTATGCAATACAATCAAATAAATAATAATCATTCATTCATTAATTCTAAATTGCTAATATTTTTCTCATAAACCTTTTTCTGTTTATTTTAATAAAAATTTTAAAAAATCAACCTTTTTAATAAAATAAAATTTATTATTTTCTAACAGAAATCACCAAGTAAAGCAAATCACAAGGAATTGAAATATTTAACACAATTGGGCGAATGGCAACAAGACACAAACAAGACATGCTCATTGAAGAACCATGATCTAACTGTGTCCTTCTACTCAAAATACCCAAGCTGAGATCAAACGGTGTGGGTCAAGTCTCTCTTCAAAACCCAAATGCCTTTATTGTTGCCACACTACACAGCCGTCCTAGTCATTCTAGTCTGTATAAAAACTCTATGTATCACTAAACCTATTTATCACTTTGCATGGCGTCGTTTTAAAATAGCGTAAAAGATTTCTCACAACATTCCGGTGTAAACTAGAATTTTATATCATAGTTGTTTTTATTTGTTCGTGTTATTTTCTCAAAAGACTTTATGGACGTTAAATGTTCCTGTAACGAACACTAAATGCACTTAGTTGAACTGTGATTATGTGGTGGGCATTTTGATTTGAGACCGATACTGAATTAATGCGCCATAACTTATATTTCCATTTATAGATATTTGTTATTACATTTTTTATAAATACCTTTATATATTTTTTCTTTTATGAAACTACATTCTTTTAGACTGTTTAGAAAAGTAACCTTTTAAATATATACGAAATTGTTTTTCAATTAATTATGTTATTTTATTTTAAATTATTAATTTATGCAAACAGTTGTATTAAACAGAACAATTTTATTACATAAATAAAGTTTCAAAATTAATTATTAAATGCTTTCTGTTGCATACACTGACTGCTTTTACAATCATAGATCACTAAATCTTGTTTAAATTCTTATTTATTTCCTAAATTATTAGTTCATTATGTAATCTATTTCAAAGTGTGAATAACTTAAAATTTAATTTAAACTGTTTAATTTTACATATTATATTTTGTTGGTTTTTCAGATAACATCTATAGTGATTAATTATTTATATTATTGTTTTTGTAAAATTATGAAGTTAAAATAATGTAATAATTTTAAATTTTGTTATTACATTGAAATGTTATTCAAATTGAATAAATTATATAAGAAGGGATAATTTTCCATAGATCTCTATGTTATCGATGTATACATTATATATGAATATAAAGTTTATAGAAAAATTATGGAGAAAGTAAACAATATAGGTTAGTAATCTGTTATTAATTGTTGAGTTACCTATTTAGATAGATACCTGTTTTTATATGTATATTTTAAGAGAACAATTAATCATTACTTGGAAGGTATAAATATGTTTTAAGAAGAAAAACATGTTATACAAATTATCTAAAGCTGGGTCCACCCAGACAATAAAAATAAAAAAATGTTTTCCACAGAATCAAAACAATTTTATTTTTCCTATAAATTGTTGGTATTTTTAAGAACAAAGTTGTGCCTCGAACAGTATCGATAAATATTGTATATTAGTTTTGTTATTATAATGAACATTGCCAAACACGTGCGGGAAAATATTTTAAAAATATCCAACAAGCAATAGTGTTTCAGGATTTTGTCAGTTGTGCTGATAAGTTAATTCATCAATATACATAAAATCTTCAGATAACATCTTTAAGAAATGTTTGAAACTAGATCGTAGTTCTCTGTTTAAACCAATATGATTGTCTTTTAAGTTCATTAAAAGTTTATCTATTTCTACTAAATACCTTTTTTGTAAAATTACCCAAAAGTGTCTTATTCTTTATTATTATTATTTTTTTTTTTGTAAATAAATATTAATCCAGGGCTTAATATAAATAAATCTTATAAATAGTCTTCAATATTTCTTCTCAGTTTCCACATTTTAATTTATGTTTATTTACTAAAAAAAATTTAGAAATAAACAAACAAAATACTGAATGTCTGAATTACTTGGACTTCAGTGACTGGATTCTGATCTATAAAAACTTAAGTAATACAACTTCAAAACAAACTTGTTTAGTATGGACAATAGAAAAAAAAACACGAACTATTTAGCTTTTGTTCATATTTCATTGCATTTTTACTCAATTCAGTATGGGGTTATTTTATTTTTTCAAATTAAAAAGGTTGAGTTTGTGTTTGATTTTTGATGTTTTTGTATTGTTTCATTGATAAATATGTGTGGTCCCGGCATAATAGGTTTATCTTATAACGATACTTAGGTGCCTAATAAGTAGGAAGCTACTTATCAGCGAGACAAAGAACCATTACAAGTACAGTCACCTGCCTGTATAAATACCTAATGAAGTAAAATGTAATAAATTACATATCAATCGATTTGTATTCATTGAGCAAATTACATTTTACATATTACCATAATTGATTGAAAGATTGTTACTTAAGTTCAATAAATTACAAACAAATTAATAACTGAAATTATAGTATTGATAAAAGTAATGCGTATATACCTAAATAAATTTTAATTTTTTTCCCAAGTACCTATATAGTCGACTGCGGTGCGGGGGTCTGTTAACACAATAATTTGCTCACTGCTGCCATCGTTTATTAAATAAAATTTTAATGTACCCGTGTACAAATTTGAGTCTATCCCCTTAACCTTACAGGAACCTCATGCATTCCTAAACTATATAAATCAACTATAGGAACATGAGCTGGCTGTCGTTCGGGCTATGTAACAAACAAACCAGTAGACGCCTAAAACCTACGCATTTTTCGCAGTTTACCTACCAGACCTGCATAGAAGGTAAATGCTTGTGTAACCGTAACTATACTTTTGCCAACAACAGTTTTATGTTTTGTGGAAAATTTGTCGTTTAACAACGCGATGTGAATATGCATTGCGTGTAATGCGAAACAATCTAATTATCTAATTTAATACAGTGTAGAATTTTGCCGACCGTTTTTGCCCCATTCTCCGTTACGATTGACGGCCTTTACAAGTAATCTATTGTACGCTGATTATAGTTTACCTATACGTTTATGCGAAGTGATATTTTTTTATTTTTTTCAACGGGTAGGTAATAACAATACACATTATAAATGGGCAGTTAAAATAATGGTTCTACACAAATTATAACTGCACACGCGGTTTATTTTTTTTTTCTTATTCAATTCAAATTGCATAGAAACAACATTTTGTTACCAATAAAAGATAATCTATTCGTTGGCCCGCGATGAAAACAAAAAGTGTTTCGAAATCATTCTGCAACGGAGGATGACAGTATTTCAGTCGACAGTCGAAGCCTAACCGCCGTCACTTGGCCAGCAAAGACCGGATTTAATTGATTTGCAAATTTTTTTTTTTTTTTTTGCAATAAACATAAATCAGATATGATTAAATATATACCAAAAATATTCTGCCTATTTAATTTTACAATGCAGTTTTTTTCAATTTTCGACTTTTGCACGATTATCCCTCGTTTTGAAATCACAGGCGTTTATCGTTCGTCTGGAATTTTCTAGAAGCTCGGAGAGCCTGGCGAGCGACAAGCGACTATATATGGTGACACCATCAAGAATAATTAAATAAAAAAAAAAAAATGCCGGGTATACCTCTGCCGCCCGAACCTGTTATTACAAGATGGGAACATGGTTAAATGCTGCACTTTTCTATGCAAATAATTTTGAAAAGTTTAAAAACACAACGCCTACTCTATTGTTTTAAATATGCACCAATAACTGGAGTGTACGTTGAACGAAGTTGTTCTTTGTATAAACATATTTTAAGCAATAGAAGATTTAATTTTAATGAAAATAATTTTGAAATTTATCTAATTATCAATTTTGATTGAAAAGTGTAACATTTATCTAATTTTTTTTTTTTTTTGCAAATTTTGCATTTTTATAGTGCAATTTATGATGCAATTTGTACGTATTTTTTGATACGATTGTATAACTATAATATGCAATTAAATCCGGTCTTTTGTTATTAGGCAGGGTTTTGTCGAGGAAACACAAATGCGTTGTAAATAACGCACAACGAGAACCAATGGTTAGGTAACACGTAACAAATGTTAGGTATGTCAGATTGTGTATAGAACTGTACACCAGGCAGGGGAGTACTCGGGAATTTTTTTTTGGAGAGTGGGAGGTCCATTATTTTTGTTTTATCTGTTCTATAATGATTATAATTATTTATTTAAATTCGTAACAGTTTCAATGTCGATCTCCCTTTGTTAGAATTTATTTGTAGTTGTGCAATTAGTGGACGCAGATAAATCGCAATTGCCGATAATGTTTATATCCTATTAGATCATTTGTTTTTAGCTTGTCTAAGTAATACGGTTTAACGGATTTTATGCGTTTCCGGTACACGAATATTATGTTAGAGTCTTAAAAAAAGCGCGACGAAAAACATTATTTGACTGTACGTTTTAGTCACAGATACAAATATGTATGTACATGCATGTTTATTCTTAAGACCTGACGGGTAATTATAGTTTTTTTTTTTTTTTTCATTTTTTCCCGTACAAGTCGATCGAACAATGGAAAAGTACACGCTCAGTAGGTCTTCAGCGAAAAAAGTTCGGCCGTTCCGGATGTACACTGTACGGCTATTGTCGGGGCCACCACTAGCCGGCTGGGGAGCCAAAATAGTGCGAGAGACGTAGTCTCGGGTCGACCCCGAGTGCCCCCGAGGTTGTGGCGCCTAAGCTCGGCTGAAACGCGGTGGCTGTGGGACTGACCGGCGCGAGATAGTGAAGCCAATCCGCCGCACCCGGCGGGCGAACGGGAAACCCATCCCGGTCGCGAGAAAGGTACGGGCCCCGAAAGGGCTGTTCCCTCCGAAGACCCTGGACCGCCGTCCAGGCTTGCTTGCCGTCATCGCCCCAGCGCTAAGACGCGGACGGCCGTCGGTAGGCGTCGGCCGCAAAACCTCCGGGGATGATCAGTTGTACGGCTATTGTCGTGTACAGACACTACGGCAATGTCACATTACCACATTTGTTCGCGCGAACGTGCCTTTGCCATCGAAACAATGCCTACCGGCCAAATGCCGTTTTCGAACTTGCCGCGTCTGCGCATTTCGGTTTTTACCACTCCGAGTCTGGGCGGCGAGAACAATTTCAGACAAGTACCCAATACGCGTATTGCGTGTAATGGCGTGCGGTCCGTGTTGTATCGGTTCCCCGGAAACGATAATTTACCAATACGGCAACACCGCACGCGCCCACAAACGTCACTGAATAATTCGTATAAAATCGTATTGCGGTGTTGGCCGTTGGTGAAAAAAAAAAAAAATTGTCTCCGGACGAGGGTTGGAAAAAAATTCAACACGACTCATCTAGGACAGGTGGTTAAAAGAATGCACTTGAAATACCTGCGCGATTTCGCGGTTTTCGTTGCGCCGCGTACGTTTACCCGTAGAAAAACGTAATGTTAATACCATTCGCAGGCCGAGGATAAAGTGCACGGGATGCACACGACTATTTGATTTACGTCTGTACGCAACGGTTAGGCCATCGCTAACGGAAATACGATTTCGGTGCGGAGTTCGGGTAAGTATGTTTTGAAGCGCGACGTTATTTCCGCGCACTCAACGCGCGGGTGTGAAAAATAATACCGCGACATTAGGAACGGCTTTATTTCTGACCGCCAAGCAAACCGGTGAAACTTATCCCGAACCTCGAGGCAAATTGCTGTCAAACATGCCTACGCGGCCAACCAAATGGAAAACTAACGAAAAACCGCCTTATCTACGGACAAGGCGACTAAAATGTCGGCAGAACGGTTTTCGGAAATCCGACTACCTCTAGAAAAGGCCGTTCCGCGAAAATTGCAGGTTTCCGCGAACGGAAAACGACACGGGAAATAAAAACGATGTTGGTGCGCAACGGGTCGGGTCGAATTTTCTCCCGGCAAAAACGCTACTCTTGAAATCCCTTATGGAGATCGACCCGATCCGTCGAACCGGGGCCGCGGGGGTACTCTGTGGGCGGTTTTTGTTTTACGACCCAGATTAAACCACGACAACATTTCATTTACGATTGCATTATTCACCACCGAAACAATACATTTTGAACATTGAAAACAATCGCGCAACAATGACAAACCCGCGGTCGCCTGTCGGTAAAAAACGGTTTTTAAATACATTTGCGTAACGAACACGCGCGAGCGTACCCCGCGAACGGTTGTACGTTTTATTTGAAAAATCCAATCGACAGACGGCCGCGCCGTTAGTATTGCCGGTCCGCATTGCTCTACGGTTGCGGCCCTCCGTCCATATTGCCAGACTGCTGCACCGGGGCCAGAAGCCACGCTTATTACAAGTGTCGTGTAAAGGGGTTTTGTGGGAGTACTGTCCTTACGGGTCTGCGATGTGTTTATAATTTTAGCACCCGCAAAGCTGGTGGTCCAGCCGTGTCTATACGTGATAAAATGACCGCCCCGATGCACCAACTATATCCAAAAGTGTTTAAAAAAATTCGTCGTTTCGTTGATCGGAACCTGAAAATTTCCGGGAGAAAAGTGGTGCGCAAACGAGCAAAAAAAAAAAAAAAAAACACCGTAAAACCTTGTACGTTGTAAAACGTCGTTGCGCTCAGAATTTAAAATTTGTAAAACAAATTGTACATTTCAACGAACGGGAATTTATCGTTTTCGAGTTCACAATAACACGTTTGGGGGGTGGGGGGAGGGTGAAAGATCAACAAAATTACGCTTCGGTATTTTACACCGCCGGTGTACAATAACGGATAGTACAATGGTATTTTGCATATTTTACACGGTCCGAACAATGGCGATTGGAACGGTGATAATACATTTCGTACACGCTGTACCTACGTCATGCGCCGTACGGTTGTGCGCACGTTCGAAAGTGGTTTTATTTAACAACATGATAACCGCGCCTGATAACCGCGGTCTCGTAGTCGTTGTGTATCATTGCGCTTTACTACGTTTCCATTTTCTATCCGCTACCAACGTATGCACGACAACGCTGCCGTCGACGACTGTTGGATTTTCTTTCTCGGTCCAACGCGTCCGCTCCGCGTTCACGTGCACGCCGCGACGCATTACGGTCCACGCCGCGTCATTATCGCAATCGCCGTTGACGCCGGGACGGTGTGCACACCTAACAGGTACCAAATATTATAATTACATTATTTGTGGTGTTGCTCGGGGTGCCGTCTGGTTCCGCACAAAAATGATCGGCACGCCGACAGAACACCCGCCGCCGCGGCCGTCGTCGACAACGGCGCGCGGACGCGACGTCAGGTTCCGCGCGGCGGTCTGACGCGGCTGTTGGCGTTATGACGACTGCGTTGACGAACGATGGACGTCGGACCGCCGCCGCCCAACAACGCCAATCACGGCTGTACACTGTCGGTGGACAGTTCCAAGGGCCGCTTGGTCGTCGAACGGATGGACTCCATCAGGAATCTGTTCGGGTGTGAATTGCGCCGGATCGCCGACGACGGCGACGAACCGGGGCCGCGCCGCGGCTGCTGCGCGGGAGACGGCGAAAACGACGCGCGGACGGCCAAGACGACGTTCGCCGTCAGCAGGCTGGACGAATACAACAAAGCGCCGGACGGTCAACTGATCGACCGACTAAAGGTAACGACCGCGCGTGCGTTGACGATATTATTGTCGTTGTCGCGTAACGCGCGCCACAGCGTCCTACTCGCGCGACCGTCCTGCCGGCAGGCGAGTCCCGTAACCCCCGAAACAAGACGTACGATCGTACGGTCGCACCGGATAGCGTTATCGCGATAGGAATGCGTTATCGCCAGTGTGCGGCTTAACGTATCTGGGGGGGGGCGGGTAATAATATTGCCGTCGAGTCGACGGAATTCGCGCGCCGTACGCGTTGTTGTTGTGGGCCCGTCGCGTAACGTCTCCTCGGTACTATCGCCGAAAACCTCCAGAAGGACCGGCGGCCGGTGGGCCGCGCATCACCGCGCAGTGGTGCGCGTCCGCTCTTGTACTTCGCGACGGTTACAATATTGTCGCGGACGTAACGATAAAACGACGACCGTCCGATTCGGTCGGGATTACGCGAAGTCACACCCCCTTCCCATTGTGTACTTGCAGGCGCGTGTGCTTTTACCTGTTATCGTCGACGGTCGTGTCCAACACGACGGTGTAATATTATATATGGGTATTATATACACCGTGTACGACGGATCTATCTAGAACCGTTGGCGTTCGATTTTTTCTGGGCAGTCCGCTTTTCTTCGACGTCCTATTTGGCGAGAAATGGAATTTTTATTATCAATCTCTTAACGAAAAAAAAAAAAATAATAATAATTACACGACTACTGTCGAAATTGCCGCTTTTGTACCAACGGTATGTTATCCTAAACATCCGAACGCACATCCCCGCGGTCTACGGCCGTACCAACGTCCAGAGGAAACGCGCGTAAAACGACGCGACTATAATTTATAAACAAGAGCTCTCTTGTGTTCTCTTGACGGGACAACGGCCCGTATTGTCGACGGTTTTACTGCGCGAACCGAATTCCGCGGCGACGGCCGAACACCCTGTATACACGCGCGTACGCGGGAGTTTGACGGTAAAAACAAAACGACGCAGACCGTCCGCCCGCCGAACGCGCGATATTCGAACGACCGCGCGCGTGCGATTAGAATTCTGTTGCTTGTCGCGTTGCGCGCGTGCACCGACATTACATATGCGTCGCGCACGTATCGTAATACACACTTGATAACGACAATATCATCGTTTCGATTGTCGTACGCGGGTACGGGGCGGGGATGGGGGTGCCGTCGTCGCGTCCCGGACGGACCGGTCGTACCGCGTTTGCTATGCCTACTACGTTACGTTGCGTAACCGTACGGTTGGCGTGGTCGACGAAGGAAAAAAAAAAAAAAAATGTCGATATTTAATTGCTCGCGTACCGCCTTACGCGTAGAAATCGCGATACTATTTCACCGAATCCTGTTACACATAATAATAATAATGATAATATAAAAGCACAATGGCCGACCGGCGCGCGCTGTCTCCGGCGTCCGATTCGTATTCATGCGATATTATATTATTGTTATTATCGTGTTGGGCATACGTACGGGAAAATAATACGCCGCGACGGCGACGGCGTGCGTACGTAAACGCGTGAAAGGCGCCCAAGTACATCCTGTTCGTGTTGCGCGTGCGATCGCTTGTTCGCGGCTGCGTGCGTGCGCGCGCGCGTGATTTACTTTCCCTTTCGATAATGGCCTAAATCCCGGTCCGAGAATGTGACGTTATAACCGTTTCTGCTGTTGTCGTTATCGTCCGTCCGTCGCATTTGAACCCGCGGAAAAGCGCTCGAAGAAAACGTTTCGAATATCGAAACGGGGCCCCGTCTGGCGATCTTTTTGCGAAACTAACTAGCAAAACTTCTGTACTTGCGCCGCGCGACGCGTCGTCGGGCCCGACAACGTTTAACGTGCGAGAAGTGCCCGGACGCGCAGAATTGCAATAGCGGCATGAAGTACGCGCGGCGCCTGTCCGACTGAATGCCGGAAAGCACCGGCGGTGTTCACTTCGGGGAGTTATGGAAATAAACGCGCCCGAAGAGATTTTCGGTTTTCACGGACAAGCCCTTTTCGTCATTAACAACGTTCGTTTTTAAAACGGCAGACGTGTCGGTTTCGAAGTAGTCCTCGTCCGGGCCCCCCCTCCCCGTCTAACGGTTCTAACACCCGCGACGAACGACTGACGCAAAGTTGGTTTTATATTTTTTTTTTTCTTTTTCTAATCCCAACTGTAACGCGTACAAATTTCGTTTTCAAATGTACCTAATTATACATTGCGACAACCGTTAAGCGCCAGAAGAGTTCATAAATCGTATTCTACAGGGTCAGAACCGTTTACAGGGAATGGCGGCTTTTTCAAGCGATTTTCTTTGTACCCGCACATAGTTATATCGCATAATACGGCACACGTTTGTGGACAGTGTTGTACGGGTATTTTAGATACTTACGATCTGCGATTGCCGTGTTTGAATAACGATACTTGAAATCGGCGTGTCGGGTATCTATACAGATACCATTTTGAAATATTTGCCCGTCTTGCCGGCGCATCCGAATTGGATACCGCGATCAAACATCTTCGCTGGTCGGGTCCCGCGTTTGCGCAAACAGCGTACTTGCGTCCCGGGTTTCCGTGGGCAGGACACTATAGTCGGGCCCCGAGTTCGAATAGTCAAAGTTTTAAAGTGGTTTAGAAAAATACATCAATAATAATACTCTGGTACTGCGGATAATAAAAATAATAAAACGGCGCCTTTTTTTGTTTTCTTCAGTTTTTCCATTTCCCTCCTGTTTGGTCCGGACTCTGACCTGTATTTAAACGTTGAAGGAGCCCCGGATAAATAATATTTCTACGCCCTTAGACGGTCTAACGTAAAACAATATTTCGATATAAAACCGTCATATTCTACCGATTATATTTAATTTTACCATTTCTCTCGTACCTACATTGAAAACGTTTCGTTATAAACATCGGCAAAACACTCGATACAATAAACGACTTAACTGACGCAAATTAGATATCAAGGTTTATACTACAGTGTGGGAGCTCGATAGATTTTATCATAATGTATAGTAGCGTTCAAACAATCCAGAATTTCGTTCCAAAATGAATAATGAACAGTCACTTAATTCCTTAAATACGCTGTAGTTATTCTCAGTGGCGGCTGTCCTGCGGCCACTGAGAATAATGTCCTGTATTGCTATACACTTAAAAAAAATCTGGCTGGTGCCGGATAGACGAGTTGATTGGTAACATGATTTGGTGGTATTTTATTAAGTTTTCAACATATGAAGGGGTTGATTTTTATGTATTCTATAATTTTCTACCAAATATCGCTTATGATAATAATATACTTTATGAAGGTTGGGTAGGTGGTTCCTCATCAGTAACATACATATTTTTTAGAATAGCCACTGGCTATCCTTATGATGGCCTTCAATTACCTTCTATAATATGTGTAGCGAATAATTTCAATAAAATATTTGCACCAGCTGCAATCATGCCGATAGTACGGTTTTTACACGATATTGAAACCGTGTCATTATATGGAAAATGTCATCAAAATATCTGTTAAAAATTGCTCGTAAATGGGCAATTATTATCGAAGTGAATCGTAACCTCTATCTGTAAATTACTATGTAGCACTTACAAATTTCGTCTCGACATCCTTCTCGAATATTGTTTCCTGTCAGTACATAAAGTAACCACACGCACGAATTGTTGTCGCATCCGGTTTATAAAAAAAAAATAGTTGGAAAGTTATAATAATAAATAGGGTAATTATTTAGTTTAAAATAATACCGATTGCGACGGTGTTAATCATTGCGAACAATAAACTATTCCTAGTGGAACTCTGTTAAACATTTTGTATTTAATTTTAATCATACAAAATAATTTACAGTTTTTCGCGATTTTTATGAAAGAAAGAAAATTGTTGACGTCATACTAGATTATTATTATTAGGTTTTTTTTGATCATTTAAATGCAACTTATGATTGTATAGCCTTTAGTCTAGTTGTCGATCATTTAGACAATCATCAGAACACTAATACTCGCCGAGATTAGCAATACGTATGGCGTATGTATAGGTTTTTAAAACCTCAACCAATCATCAAGGTCATTAAGATTAATGTACCTATTGCGTTACATTTTCGATTACTTCTAAAAAACGTATTACGACATTTACTAAAAATACAAGTTATTATTTCTATAGAAAGTTACAAACAGTCAAGGAAAATATAAACGCTTGTATTTTAATCCAATAGAATAATGCGATGTGTTATTGTGTGACTGACGTTCAAATTATTTCGAAATACGTGTAGTCCGTATGGGATTTTCTGGAGAACTGACATAAAAGGCGTCTTCTAGATTTTTTTCCCAAAATTTTCCCGTTGCTGTTTTGAGAGCGGTTTTCTATTTTGTAATATTGGACGGCTAATCTCATAACTATGGATATGTATATATATGTGCAGTGACGTGCACAGGGGGGAAGGTTAGGGGTTATGTCTCTCCCACCATCGGCTTAAAATACAAAACAAATATGAGTAATCTAATGTCGAAATGCATTTATTTCAGCCAAATTACGAGGAAATACTTGACAAATCGATTAGAAATTGGCTTTGTTTGGGATCCGGCGAATTTATGATTTATTCGTGATTTTTATTTGTCACATGCCCTCCCATTGATAATTCCTGGATACGCCACTGTATGTGTGTGTTGTACATATGGTTTTTGTCAAGTATAATAAACGAAATTGAAAATACAAATCTGTATGAATCGGTGTACGGTATATATACACGACGGTATATCTATGCCGTGGAAATTCGGGAGGTCACACTCGGGTTTACTTGATGAACATCACGTGGGAGTTTGGGATACTTTCTCCGCGGGGGGGAAACGAAGGCAACGGAATTGTTAAAATAGCATGAAAAACCTATTGGGCCGTGCAAAACGTTATTAATGTTATATACATTATATACGTATATTATACGCGGTTTGAAAGCAAAATAGAAACGTTCGCACTGCAATATCGTAGGAGTCAATTTTGTACGTCATGACGTATATATTGCAATATATATTTTGTTTAATTGTGAAAATGTTATCTCTGCGATTCGTTATTTTGTAAAAATATCAGTTTGTTACATTATGAACTGTTAGAAAATATAACGCTTAATCAATATTATAATAATTTGATATCCATATGGCAATCCTTCGGGCAAAAAAATAAATCATAACTTTTACAATATCCATTTTAGTTTTCGAGCGTGACCGTGTATAGCGAGAAACATATTGGAGTTTGGCATCGGTGCGTGAGTTTTTTTTTTTGTTTCTGTCCGAACAGCTTTTCTACCGGAAATATCTGGCTCCGTTTATCGACTTCAGGGGTGGTGTCGGATTTCCTCTGATCTATAGCGACTAGGCGGTCATCTGTCGATATTTCTCGTAGCTTTCTAAATATTCGGGAAAAAACAACAGAATATAATATTTACGTATTATATAGGTAACGCGGTTTCTGTTTTTTTCGATTTCTAGACGTGGTATAATTTTCAAAATATTTCTGCGATTTTCTAACTGTCTATAATAGCTATTTGAAAATGTCGAGGATTTTTTTTTATCTTTGGTTTTATTTATGCGGTTAGACATTCGTCGGCTTCTCAAAAACAATCGAACATTTTAAACGAAAAAACACGGAAACAACGTTTCGTGTAGTAAGGGACATTAATACAATAAATGTTCAACTTAGGTTGTACAAAACAGGTTTTTTTTTCTTTACGGACTTTATTCAGAATCGTTTTTCGTTTGCAATGATTTATCGTAGGCTATAGATGTATTAAAATAATCTAAATAACCGAAAATCGTAAACTTTTATAACTATTTCAACGTTTTCGAGTGTTTGGCGAAAGAAAGAAAAAAAAGGAAACAATAAATTGTGTAAACAATCTCGAACTGGAGTAGAATCATACATGATCCTGTGTATATAATACGATCCTAAATCCACAACAGGATTTTCGAAAACTATTCGGCAATGTACGCAATATTATTATGTCATCACGTCGCCCGACCCCTTCCTCCCTGCAATACCGGGGTCACCACAAACAGACACGTATAACAAAATCGCTTATCGTTTACGTTATATTTGGGGTTTACCTATGATTTTCATATTATATGTGACTCAGAATATTCCAAACGACAAATTCTCGACGTGTTATTGTTAAATCATTTTTATTGTATTCGTTTGTATTAATTTGTCGAGCGCGCATTATTGTTTACCGAATCAATTTTCTCACTCGATTCGTATTATAGGTATTTTTTAATGTTAGAATAGTATTACGATTTTCGACCGGCCTGAATATTATCCCGCGGACAATCTCGTTTGGACGTCGTGGATCGCTATGTCAGTCCTCCCTCTCCCCTCCGCAATGCGGGGGTTGCTTCGGGCACCCATACGTGCGTGTATATAGTGAGTTACGCCACTGATATTGAAAGGAGTGACCGTGAGATGAAACTATTGTTATCTTGCGATCGGGGAAATAAAGAAATCATTATAGTACCTATACGTATAATTATATAACGTGACACAAAAAAATAAAAAATAAAAATAAAAAGAAATTAAGAATACAAAATTGTTCGATTTTTTTCCAAGACGCTCGTATTATATCAGAATGTGATTTCAACGTAAAATTAAATTTTATATAATTAAAAAAAAAAACGAAAAGAAATACAAAGCAATTAATTTTATAATATTACGACAGGCGCCTATACAAAAATATCCTATTAATTTTATTATTCATTACAAATACCTCTATTGTACTTGCGTAATGGAATTGAATACATAAAATGTACAAATACGCATACACGAAAGGTGATATTGTATTATATTCGATTTTTACGTGAAATAAAAGTCAACAATTTTACGTTAAAGTTATAGGAGACAGTGGTGGATTTACGAAGGGAGGGGGGGTCCAGGGGGTCTAAACCCCGGGCACCAATATAATTTCAATAAAATAGCGTCCAAAAAATAAGGCATTTTCTAATAGAGATACCTTTCAAATACATTAAACATATGATTTCTCAGGACCCCTCCCAGACAAATGTTGAAAATCCGTTATTGATGGAAAAAATTCGTTCGTATCGTTTTTTTTTCTAAACGGAGTTTTCGGCACATCCCTTATTCTTTCAGTATTATTCCGTCATGGCGATACTATATATCTGATGTATATTATCTATTGAAGGTGTTTTTTTTCTAAAAACTGTTTTTTTTCACTTCTTGTATAACACCTAGATCGAAGATGATATCGATAAATGCGGTGCTGTTTTAAACTTTAAAGATGTAATTACGTATCTGCATACTTCAGTGAAAATACAACGGAAATACTACTGTGGCATTAGTTGTTTACATTACGTTTGCTCAATCTATAGGATCATTTCGGCGTGGTGATCCTCCGGTGTAAAGCCCGCATATCGTCGTGAAGTACAATTTTTACCATTTTACGCTTTATTTTAGCCTATATTTATAGTAAAACACCATAAAATCGTACTGTATACGAAATTAACATACGATGATAATCAAATGTATAATGTGATCCTTTCAGGTTAGGAGTACACTCAGTTATCTCGCGAAGTAATTGGTTTTTTCGACAATTTAAGAAAAAAAAGAGTTCCAAAATGCTACATTACTATTATTGTTGGGGATGAAACAACAAGCGTCTATACTTTTGATTTTCAAACGGCAACAAGTTAATTCAATCATGAACATATGGAGTTCCCGATATATTACCTAGTATAAATGCAATTTTGAATTTCGTCACGTTCGTTGACGAGATATTCCATTTTTAAGTTTGGGTATAGGGCTCGAGAGTATGTAGTTGAAAACTGTTCAAAGGCCGCGCGCCACACAAACGATACGCTACCGTATACGCCCTACACAAACCTAAAAGTGGAATATCTCGTCAACGGGTAGATGGAACTTAAAAATGTCAACATCAAAATGTATTTATACTAATATAATATTCTTTCTGTTTTGAAATTGATCGGTTGCCGTTAGAAAATCAAAATTTTAGGTGATCGCGTTTTACCCCCAACAATAATGGTAAATGTAAATTTTAGAGCCGCGTCGTTTCTTAAGGTTTTTTAAAAGTCAATACTCTACAAAACAATGCGTGTAACTTATATCCACTTGAACGGATTACATTGCACGTATATATATATATATATATATATATATATATATAGAATAGAAATTGTGTAAAATTACAAAAATTATTTCACTATACCAAATGATCATCTTAAAAAGTCGATAATGTTGTGTTTGTCGTACAATATACATATAGTCGCTGACTGGTTTAAAGACATGATTGCAGTAGACAGTAATTTGAACCTACGATTTGCCGCTTCAGCAACTTAACCGGTCAAACTTATTTAATATAATGCACTGTAATACACCTATGACCAGAGGGTCATAAGTATACCGATTTTCGCTGGTCGAGATCGTCATATTGTACTTTATACGTTCAAACTTCGTTTGCCCGTTTAGTTTGTTTTTAAAATGCTAATAGTATTCGAAAAGGCCCGCACTACAGTCGGTCTTCTTCTTTTTCTCCTTCGCCTTCATCCCAGCTGTTAGTGTTCGGCCACCCCCGCCCTATAAACCGATATGTCTTATGATGTATATTCATCCTTTATCCTGTATCCTCTCTCGTCACTCCGTTCATCCGCCTAAGCGTTCTATCATCTCTGCCGCACTCATTTTCCGTTTTATTTTTCTGCCTACCGCCCGACATTCCGACCCATACTATACATACAAGCCTAATTGGAATTCACTTGTAACATAAAACACCTGACGTTTCTCATATCATTTTCAATCGCATCCGACCAACACTTTTCCGGTCGTCCACTTCCTCGCTATTAGCTGTTATTTCACGAATTATTATACTATACAACATCATATGTGCCCAGACGGTATTCGTCGCGGGTATCATTAAATTTCTTACGAAACCAATAAAACACGCCTTTTCGACGCATATTACACGAATTCATTATAAATATACACGACAGTGGTTATCGAACCGTTATGAGTTTAAAAATAACGTTATTACCTACCTATATATTATATTATAATACGAGTATTTACGTCGACTTGAGCATAAATTATATCGCTCAAGTATCTATATATATATATATATATATATAGGTATATAATAATATTATTAGGTACTCGGTTTTTTTTTACGACTGACGTTTTAATGTATACAACGATAAGAGCCGCTGTAGGAAAAAAACAAAAAAAAAAACGTAAATATTTAACACGAAACCGCGCGGCAATGACACGGTGTAGTGCGACACGTCTAAACTGTATTACCCGGATACGCGGCGCTCTGTCGTACGCGTATAATATATTATAATATTATGTGTTATCTCTTTGCATATCGCACGTGATTTGTAAAATACGTTTAGAAAAAAAAAAAAAAAAAAAAAAATGGAAATGTGTCGAGAAACCGTCGTCGTCGTTAGGACAAAAAATTTCGTTTGTATTCAGCAGCGACCGTATTATACCCGTGCGAGAACCGTGCGCCGCCTATTATTCGCGTCGAAACACATTTCCGGATGGGTAACCGCGATTGATTTCTCCGATACATGAACCGCGCGAAAGACTGCGCGGCCGCGAACGGCGGGCATCCCGTGCACGCGAAGCGCGGCTGCTTCACGGCCGACCCGATGATGGCGCGTACGCTGCACCGCAGTGGCCGCGCACTCGTTCGGGCGAAGCGCGTTTGGGCCACCGATAAAACTGCGACCCGTCTGGACCGATAATTTTAAATTTCTATACAAAGGCTCGCTAAACGGACGTCCAGTTAAACTGCGAAAACGCAGTTTTTTAATTGAGTGACAAGTAAACCATTTAGGTTCACGTGCGATTACTGTGCATCGATTTAGTTTTAAAACATACCAAAAATCCAGTTATATTAAAAAATATATACCTATATCTTTGATATATTTATACAATAGCCATTTGTATATCAAGGTGTTGTATACGATAAGAAAACCCGGATAAAATACTGTTATATAAAGGCTCGCTAAATAAACGTTCAGTTAAACTAAAATGAGGAAAATTCTGATCCGAACGGGCTGTACAAAATAATTGTTTTTTTTCAAGCCCAGACGGGTCTTGCCTCACGGTGTCGGCACATTTGCGGTCACGACTTTTTTGGTGACACTTGCGGTTACTCAGTTTTTTTTACCCGCTATCTTTTTTTACACGGACATTCGTGTTTGTATATATTTTCATATTTAAGATTCGAAAATGCATTGGTTTTATTATGATGTGAATTTAAATATTTCAGCATATTTTAGGTTCACATTTACAGGCAATCGTTTATTTTTATTTTTCATTCTTAATATTACGTACGCCTAGCTATAGTGAAATAAAACTTTCCACCTTTTATGTTATTTAGTTATTTTTACCCGACTTAATAAAACCTTAATAATTAATAGACCTCGACCGACTTTTTTAGCTCTATACAAATGTCTTATGTTAGAAGCTAATATTTGATCGATATTTTTTGAACACGAAGGGAACGAAACAAAAAAATTTTTGCATGGAAATCGACAACAGAATAGACAAACATTAAAATCCTACCAAAATGACAGACTTAAAAAAATGTCTAAAAATTCTTTCTTTCATCGAAAAACTAACCTAAAAAATATCACGCCTAAAAAAGTTAAGATAAATTAATAAAGATAATATAACAGTTAAATATTATATAAAATAACTTTAAATATGCCAGTAAATGTTAAATTAATATTTATTGTCAGTCCTAATCCTGTAAAAGTGCGAAGGAAAGTTTGAATACACTTCATAATACCGTGTAAAAAAAAAAAAAAAGAGAGAGAGTTTGTTCGTGATTTTAAACCGAGACCGCTTCGTAGGGGGGAAATACTTCGCGCGCCGCCCCCGGGCTGGTCGCACGGTTGGTGGTGACGGGATTCCGCGGCAATGACGGCGAGTAATACTGAATCGGTTCCCGGATCGTCCGAATAAAGCGTACTGATTGGTTCCAGACTTGGGCGCAACTAGACCACCAACTTGTGAAAATTATGGAAATAAGACCCGAGATTGCGGGGGCAATACTCCCAGAATCCCCTTTGCACGGCTCTTACAATAGTTAACTACACGTTTAATTTACAATTTTGTGTATACAAATTTATCATGACTATTTTAACGTTATTTTTTATAAATTGCTCATGCATTGTCTGTAGAAAACCTGTACATTGTTCTGCTCGTTAATTATAAAATATAATACGAATAAAATATTTACTCGTTACCATGTGAAAAAGCTCACTGGGTTTGGTTTTGGGATTTTGGGGTTGTGGTTTTCATTTTAAACTTGGGGGTGCTAAATACCCCCTAGCATCCCCCTAGTTGCACCTATGGTTCCCGATAAAAACGTCGTTCGAATCGGTTCCCGTATGTGTGCGAATCCGCAATCTAATCGTATTTTATTGAGTTTGTGATATCTGGAATTTGTCCAGAAAAGTTCTCGTATCTATTCTCGTTATAATATTAACATAAATAGAATATCGTATCCAATATGGTTTTATATTAAGAGGATGCCACTTAACATACTCGTATTTATAAAAGAAATTGCAAATCGTTTTTTTCAAAATAAACGGTTTAAATAATATTGAGGAAGTAAAAAAAAAAAAAGGGAATTTTAAAAAAGAAGTTTATTCAACGTGATTTTATTTTATCATCGTAATATTATGAAAAGCTCATCGGGGAAATGATTTTTCGTTTACCTAGTATATTATATTACCCGTAGACAACCCGGGAACCGATTCGCAGTCGTCCATGACGGCTTTAACCGTTACATTATCGTTTATCGACCATAATAATAATAATATACAATTTTCCGGTTTTCTCAATTATTATGAAAAATGCTCGAAAAATCAAAAATTGACCTCTTTAAAGTAATAACTAGATACAATCTCCTTATTGTAAAAAAAAAATAAATAATAATAAACATCATTATAAAACTAATACGTTCCTCGTTCGCTCAGAATCTAAAAATTGACGCGATTATTGTGATAATTTTTAAATTTTACATACACTTCTATGATTTTTTTTTTTCAAGAATGTCCCTGACTGCCTATAGGCAATAAGCAATTTAAAGGGATAACTACGATTTTCGGTGAAATATTACCGATTAAGAGTATAATATTTCCGTATAGAAGTCGCGACGATTTGTTCGGAGCTGTTCAACGATTTCGGTTTCCGAAATAGTAAATTGTACATCAAATCGGTGTTATCGCCGTTCCGACTGTATAAATTCAGTGTTGTCCTATACTATTATAGAAATAAAATGTATATTTTTTTTTTATTATCGAACAACCGTTTATTCGATACATTTGAAATGTAAATACAAATTGGTTTGTCCGCCTTGAATAACCCGAAGTTCGCTGAGTTGAAGATAGAGTTTTTTTTTTTACTTATAAACTAAATACGTATATATAAAACACTAAAAAAAAAAGTACAAAAAATGATTGGTTTATTATTTTATATTTTATTCTAAGATATTTTAAAAAAAAATATTATATTTTTATTTACTCTTTTTTTTACATAATTTACCTTGAGATCGTCTATTTCAATATTTCACGGTTTAATTTCAAAGGGTTCTGAATTAGAGTGGAAGAAAAAAGGCACCTGTAGCAAATTTTTTTTAACGCAACAAATTAAGAGGATTATTGTTCTTTATAATCGTCTTTAGTATAGAACCGACCCGATCAGGGCGAATATAACTATAATACTCATTATAGTCATTGCTAATAATATGTATATTTTTTTGTTATTAAAAGAAATTATTATTATCATATTAACACAATATAACACACAAAGTATTAATAAAAATAACAAAACAATTATCTACAGCTTTAAGCAGAGCTTGAGGTGGTGTAGGGAGTTATAGTACACGTGAGATAAAAAATTTAATTAAGTTACACACAATAATATACATTATTATTGGTACATTTCATACTATTCGTATTTATATTAAGAATATATTTTTCAACATCAATTGGTAAAGAATTAAAATTTACCGGACCCAGATGATTTATGCATTTTTGACCGAAACGTGTATTTGTGTAAATCACTTTAATAATAAACAATCCATCTTCCCCCGTGGGATTATCATTTTGCTTAAAAAAGAAAACGCTTGCTTTTAATATACATAGTATAGTATAGTTTTAAACGTTTGATTATGTTTGCTTCCCGAACGATTTCGAAAAACGGAGGTGTCTGGTTATTGCGCAAAGCCCTTTGTCCGGTACATTATTCACTGGTGCCCCGGATTTTCGCGTGTTATACTTGCCGCGAACGGTTATTTGTGTTTGTAATTTTTTTTTTTTTCGATTCCGGGTCGAACCCGCTTAATCTGCTCATCGAATTAGTTTTACAACAAGATACGATGTACTGGGTTTTCCATAAAGAAAACGAACGCTTTTTCGCTCAGTGAAAACGTTCCGGAACGTTCACCGCGGTAGATCCGTAAACGTTTTCGTACGGATTCACGACCGATTTTCCAACGAATAATTCACAAACGACAACGTCATACTAACACGGGGAGCCGAATCATTAATAATTATCTCGACGTTTCAGTACCACGGACGCTTCGGAATTTTAGATTTTTTTTTTATTTTTTTCCCCCGTTCGTATCGTTTCATGCGATTTTCACCGGGTCCGGCTCCGCTCGGAATCCGAGGGGGGGGGATGTCTTCTTTAATACTCACCGTAATTTTTCGGTTCTCTTTCCCGAATTATCCGGTCCATATTATAGTGTTGAGGTGTACGATTTTGTTTTTTCTTCTCCACTCGTCCCGCCTCCCGTCTAATATTTATTTTGCGAAACGGACGTGTTTAAAACGGTAATATACCGCCGGCGCGCGATGAGACGGCGGCGGCGGCGGCGGTCTCCTCCTCGCAAAAAGTCCTCGTCTACGCGCGCCGCCGAAGAAAACAACGGCGGCGGCGGCCTGCGTCGTCGTGCTCCGTCGCGCGCGCGGTACCTCGCGTTCCCGTCTTCGCGGTCGCGCGTTCGTGTGACCCCGCGCGCGCGGAGTTCAGGTCCGTTAACCCTTTATACCTGTTGCACATCGCGCCGCCGCCGAAGTATTATAATATTATTATATTCCGTTGTCGCGAGTGCGCCGCTCGCCGCTCGCTCGGCGTACCGCTTCACCGGCGGCTATGGTGGGCGGGCCGCCCGGGGAGGGGGACCGCGGCGCGCAGACCTTCACTCCCGGAAGCGCGCGGCGGCGGCGGCGACGACGAAGACGACGATTCGGGTCAGTGTCGTGTTGTTTCTCCCGGATCCGCGCCGCGCGGTCGGTCCCCACACGACGCGGCCGAGAGCTCATCCGGATCCGCCACCGCCGCCGCCGCCGCCTCTCTCCGCGGCGCGCGGTTACGCCGCGCGCCGGAGTAACAGTGTGACTCTTGCGTCGTCGCGTGTAGTAGCGGGGCCCCGCATTGCCGCATAGTAGTCCGAGTAGTCGCGCAGTGCCCAGCTACCCAGCGGAGACGGTCGCCACAGCCCGTCGCAGTTTCGTGGTTTGTATTGCGTGCGCGCGCGCGAGTCGTCCGGCCGCAGTGACACGCCGTCGCGCGCTCTTATCGCCTCACGACACACCGCCGCGCCGCAACCACCAGCCATAGACGATACGAACATGACGTTTACCGGCGGCGTACTTCGGGTAAGTCAACCGGGGGCCCCTTATAATATTAAACATTTTTCATGTGTGTGCGCGCGCGTCGTCGGTCGACGGGATCGGAAAATCCGTCGGCAAACTCGTTTCCCGGCCGTGTTCGTTTCCGAACCGGATGTACCGCGTCAAAGTTTGCCCGCGTCTGCCGCCGTCGCGTCCCAAGGACAACAAATAAAATCGCCGACGCGTTTTCGCTTTTTAAAACACAATATTATTGTTATCTCCTACCCACCTACTCTCCGGGCCGGCGGGCGCGCGCGTCCACCGAAAATAATAGGAGCAACAATATTATTTCCCATAGGCGGACCGGAGGTGTACGTAATTAGTCGTGTTTACGTTCGTCCGGAAACCCGTTACGTGCACACGTCTGGCGGGTTTTTTTTTTTAGAAAATTTCCCTTTTTTTTTTTAACGCGCTATTGTATAACAATATCGTCGTCGTCGGATATAACGAGTTTTTGTTGTTCTCCGAATGACGGGGACGCGTCCGTTTCGTACGGTACGAGCGCGTTAATATAAGTCCGGAAAGTATGGTCGTCTCCCGCCATATAGGCACCGGCGTTGACTTTCCGTTTCTTCCGATAAAAACCACGTCGATGTATCGGAGCTCCGCGGTTCGGATAATGTCGCGGACCCGCGGCGGAGGATCCAGGTGGTGCGGAGGGGGGTGCTCGGGAGCCTGGGCCCCTACCAGTGTATACCGGAGAGTTACGAAACTCGCACAAAATATAATATTAACCCGCGTACAATGCGAGATTTTCAAGGAAGAATTGCGGAACGTAACCGATCGATTGTGTTCTACGATGACGTATTTTATTATAATTTTCGTCTATAAACAAATTGTCCACCGGAAAATATCCTACTCCGATCATAAAATACAGACGCACATTTTACGTGTCCTATCTTTTCGACTTATTGCTCCCCCCCCCTCCGTAACATTGGCTTCTATTTTTTCTAAATAGCTTCCCAACCCCGAATTTCAACTCTGGAACCGCCACCACTGTGGCCCTGCGGATTTTGCGGGACCTCGATTTGCCCGTTACACCGATCCCCTCCTAACCTCCTCCGATTCCTTTATGTTCTCGCATCTGTTGGCGGCGAATCTTAACAATATTATTGTTCGTCCTTATCCGACACGTGCGTTTTACATACTATTTTTCCAAACGATTACGCGAAATCGCGAGCTACGATCGCGACGGGGCTGCGCGTGCCAGTGGTCGAACCGCTCGCGCCGGCCGATAATTAACGTTATGGAAAACACCTGTCGCGGCGGCCCGTATTGTCTATCCGATTATTGGTTTTTGGCGAATTTTGCCGGCTCGTTATTAATTTCGGTTTTTTTTTTTTTTTCTATCCCGTTACAGTGTTACGTAGACTCGTTGAACGAACTGCAACTGGGCGAATGCAGCAACGACGATTCGAGTTACGATTCGGACTTCGGCGGCGACGACGACACGAACAGTACGAACTTCAGCCATCACGACATCAGTCGCACCACGTCGGACACGCTCGGCGCCGAGTACTCGGATTATGTCAGCGCGGCGGCGTACAAGTCGCGGGTGGATTTCGCACTGAAACTCGGGTACACCGAACGGCTGGTGCAGGCGGCCCTCAGCAAAGTGGGTTCCGAACCGACGCAGGATCAACTTTTAGCCGTACGTAAAAACATAGTCGTTTAGAATCTAGATTTTAGATAAATTGTGCGTCACGCAGTAGGTAGACATAGGTATTTTAAAATACGTGGCTGACATACGGATGGAACAGAGACACGCGAAACGTCTCGGGAGAATTTGTAGAACAGGATATACTCGAAACGGGTGGCGTGGGTGGTTTTCCGATACTTAGTTAACAAGCTAAAGTGGTTCGCGGGACGTGTTACGAAAAGAGTGAAGTTTTACGGATGGACGAGTGGACGGAAAGAGGGATAGAGGAAGGAAGACCTCACCGGTCTTCTTTTCCCTCTTGCCGGCTGTACAGGTACGATTGGATGAGACCTAGTCTGAAGTCGAGTGACGGTTTAGGACCAAGGTGACCGATTTCGAAAATCATATTAAACTTTCACGTGGACTGAAGGTTAAATATTTAATATTACGATATTTTGATTGTATACTTAGGAATTGATCAAACTAGGAGCGCAGTGCGGTCACAAATTACACGGCGATTCTGACGGCGAAGAAGCTCAATCCAATAACGCATGCAGCAATGATCTACTAGGCTCACAAACGCCGAAGCTCCGGCAAATCGTCATCGACGGGAGCAATGTAGCCATGAGGTACTTAATCAATCTGTCCGTTTATATCTACTGTAAAATCTCACTGGCTAACGCTGTGACTTAATTTCAGCCACGGAAACAAAGAAACCTTCTCGTGTCGAGGTATTAAAATCTGTGTCGATTGGTTTCGAATGAGGGGTCATACGGACATCACGGTGTTTGTACCGAAATGGCGAAAAGAAGCTTCAAGACCCGATAACAGAATTATAGGTATGTTAAAAATCATTATATAGTAAACTCGTATACCAATCGTCACTCATATTGTATTATTTTGTCTCGTAGATCAAGAAATTTTATTGGAGTTAGAACGGGCCAGGATGCTGGTTTTCACTCCATCTAGAGAGATTGGAGGCAAGCGTATGGTTTGCTATGACGATCGATATATTTTACGATTGGCCTCAGAACTAGACGGTGTTGTTGTTTCAAACGATAATTACAGAGATCTCGCCAACGAGAGTCCAGCCTTCCGTTCTGTCGTACAAAATAACATACTGATGTACTCTTTTGTTAACGATAGGTAAACAAAAAATTTATTTAAATTAATTAAATATTTAATATTCAATAAACATTGTTATTTGATTGCAGATTTATGCCACCAGATGATCCGTTGGGTCGTTCTGGTCCCACCCTCGACGTGTTTCTCCGTAGTAAAGCACCAGGTGTTGGTTTAACAGCTGTCAGTAATGAAACTTGCCCGTACGGCAAGAAATGTACGTACGGAAATAAGTGTAAGTTCAGTCACCCCGAACGCGGACAGCAACCTGTAAAATCTGTCACAGAAAGATTAATAGAACATGCCCAACGGCAGAGTTTAGCCGGTCGTCAGATAAAGGGAAAATCTGTCAGTTTACCATTACAGTCAGGCAATAATTCGAAAAAGCCACTGACTCGTACCATGTCCAATGTCCCTACCCAGTCGAATAATCCACAACTGTGGGGCATGTGGACACCCAACAGTTCCAACACTAGTTATAGAGAACCAGAGCCGGAATCTGATAATTTACATCATAAATTGCAGAGACAACTTACATTAAACCCTACATACGACCCACGTCTACATCATTTGCAGCGAAGTCAACACTGTAATGTAACGAGAATAGCATCTGCACCTCCTGTACCTATGCCGATGAATGTGCCACAAACAGTAGGCGCCAGCTGTTCCGACCCTCAGATATTTCCTAGTTACCATGAAGCTAGGCAAAAGTTATATTATCATTTAGCTTCTATTTTTCCTGAGGAACAAGTTTCTATAGCTATGCAATGTTATCCAAATGAAACAAATCCTCAAAAGATCTGTGCGGCTATATTGAACATGTTTACTAAAAAGTGATTAAAAATGTAATTTTGTGTTTTATACACAGTGTTGTATATTAACAATATTTATAAGTGATTTTGTCTAACTACATTAGATTATTGACAAGACGGTGACACTCGATACAATGTATCTGATTATTGTGTTGATTTATTTTTAAATCATGTATTTTTGTGTAACTATTATGTTAATTTTGTAAAATTTTATATTTTATTTAATATTTTTATATGTTTTGGTTAACCAAATGTATAATAAAGCGCCGTATTAATAATAATTATTTCAAGTTGTATCATTTTTTAATTTCCCCATCATAATTTATATAAAATAGAAAAACAACAAATCATGTTGTATTGTTAGTTTTGTTGATAGTTGATTAACTAAAACCAACTGGTTTAGTGAAATATTAAAACAACTAATTTAAAAAAAAATCAAGCCTATATTTTCAAAATTGTTATTCTAAAAGGGTATATGGTATTTTTTTTATATAAATTTAATGTTTTCGTGTTAACTTAAATTTTGGATGGCTTCATTACAATCGAGCCTTATGTAATTTGTAAAGGATTCAATCATAAATTTCTTTCACGGCTGCTACAGTCAAAACAATTGTTTCATATTTCAGCATACTGAACTCATTCAAACCTACAAGTAATATTTTTAGTAAATATCAAGTGTTCATTGATAATATCATTTTATTTATAAAAACAATACACAAACAGGAATCAGATTCATATGTTTGATTCGGTTTAACGGTACACTGATATTTCCTTTAAAAAGAATAATATGAATATGAATATGAAACATTACTAGTGCTCTATTGTTCTAAGGTAGACTACTCTTGTAGGTGGACCGTTTTGAAAGGAAGGACAACTACAATAGGAATATTTTAGCGATTCTGAGAGTCTGTTTCATATTTTGATAATTTTTAATTAACATTGTTTTATAATTTATACCTAAGTAAGCAAAATACAATTACAATTGTTGGGTATTTTAAAAAAATGTATTATAAATGTCGAGTTAGAATATTTTCTTTATGGTTGTTTCACATTTGATGAGAAAACTCATGAAAAAATCAAGAAATTACCATTCTAGAGTACCACCCAAGAAAATTTCCTTACAGAAAAATGTCAAGATCGTACACATCAGAGGTAAGTCTTCTTGGGAGAAAATGTGTTAACATAAAAAAAATAAACAACTTTGTAAAACCAATATGCATTCCTCACTTTCCTCGGAATCCAAAATACATATGTAAATTAAAACTTAGCGCCTGGAGTATTATTGATTATTTTTATTTATGACGAATTAATAAAATGTAAAATAGATAATTTAACAACAGTTAATGTTTCCAATCTTAGTCACAATGACACTGATTTACTACAGACAAATACAATAAAAAAAACACTTTTTGATTTTAAGTTGTATAAGATAAAAACATCATAAAAAAATAATATATATATATATATGTATATCTTTAAATTTAATATAATATAACAATACAGTATAATTTATTTATATCAATAAAAATATAATAGTTATATACTTTAACTAACAATTTTGAACATATTACGGTGTATATCAAAAAACTACATATAATAATTTTATACATTATATTTAAACGTATATGGTTCCATTATTTATTNGTATGATTCAGTACTTTAGTAGGTATTGGACCAAATGTTGGTGTTTAAAAGTTACAATGAACTAAGTAGTAAATATAACATTAAATTTGGGTAAATTTTAGGTATCAAATTATAAAAGTGTAAATACAAGTAACAAGATAAAAACTCGGTTAATTAAAAATATAAATTAATAAATATAAAAAAAGTAAACACACAATAGAAGTGATTAAAAAACCATATTTTATCTATTTGTCAATAAAAAAAAATCATATAAGCATATATGTATCTATAAAATATATGATATATATTATAAACTAAATGAAAATATGGCAATTTAATTGATAAATTAAATATTAATTTATATTTGAATTGTATCTCTCGATAATAAACTTCTATTAATTAGCTAATTTTAAATATTTTAGGTGATTTTTATTCAAACATTAAATTGAAACATAGAAGGGGCTGTTCTTTTTAAAATAAATGGTTTAAATGGAAATCTAGAATGTTGCACAATTTCTGGTTTTAATATCGGAACCCCTTCAAGTCTATCTAAATTATGGTCACGTTTTGGTAAATTAATTGATTTTAATTGGAAATCCATAGGCTTATTTTTGGGACTAACTACAATTGATGGTTTTTTGTTCCAATTGAAATCTTGACTCATTTCTGGCCTAGGTAGTTCTACATGTTTTTGTGGAGTTTGAATTAATTCAGCTTGTGATCTTCTAGGTGGTAAAGGTGGAGCCATTCTTCTAGGTGGTATAGGAGGCCTAAATGATGTGTCTACTTTACTTAATCGAGGTGGTACTGGAGGAACACCATTAGGAAGTTTACCTAATGTGAATGTAACTGGTTCAAAAACTGAATCATCTGCTTCTCTTTTATCCGTTTGAATAACTAAAGAACACGATGAACTTGATTTCCGTCTACCTTGAACATCCATTTCTTTGGACGACACAGATGGTACACGTATTTTAGTCTTTAAACCAGGTGATTTAAGATTTAAGTCTGGCCATAATCTTTTATTTTTTGGAAGTTGTTTGCAATTTCTCGGTTCAATTTCCAAAGATTTTTCATATAAATAGTTGCTAATATCAGTGTCTTTCATATCGTTGAAGGGGTTCAAGTTTTCTAAAAACTTTTTAATTTTAGGCTCCACATTTAAACAGTAGGGTTGATTTTGATATTGTTGGATTTCTCCAATAATCTCAGCCACTTTTCGACGTTTGTTAAAATTAATTAAATTTGGACTGATGGTTAAACAATCTGGATTGCCCTCTTCAATATGTAATATATTTGTTAAATACATACCGATAAATGGCACACAAGGTGGATTTATACTTCTTAATTTATCTTGATATTTTCTAAAATGATTATTACTTAACTGTCGAGCTTCTTCTAAAGCTTTCTCGTGTCTAGCGCTGATATTTGAGAGTGTAAATTTCAGGCGAAATACTGCAGCTGAACTCATAGTCGATACAACACCTAAAACTCCATTGAAATTATTTAACTCATCTAATGCCATCATAACTTCAATAAATCTTGACACAATAGCAACTCTCTCTTCAAAATTTACACATTCAACAACGGCTTTTTCGATCCAACGACTAAAATTTGTAGTGCGTTTGATTAGTCGAAGTAAATTTGGAGATTTTATTTCTTTATCCTTTTTAGTCCAAACAGATCCAACCAACTGTGAAGGTTTTACTGCTCTATAATTTTCTGACTCAAGAAGAGTTAATTGTCTGGCAAACTCTATAGGATGTACTAATAGTATGTTAAACTCATCGTTTCCGTTAAAATCCATATGAACTTCAATAGGTGGTGGCGGCGAATCGAATGCAAATGTTATTTCTTTTTGAGCTTCGGTGGTTTTCCTTTGCATTATTTTGATAACAGAATCTGCCCATTTTTTCATTGATTTTCCATTAATCGAATATAAAAATGTATGTAATTTATCAAGTAAATCTGGATCTCTTTGATNTGGAACATGAAGATTTTTATGCGTATAGTACAATTAGTACAACAACTACTCTATTGACTCCAGTAATAACTGTAGTAATCAATGACAATTCGTTTAGCGTCTACGAAAAATCAGTTGGAACATGAAACGTTAAACGAATTGTCATTGATTACTACAGTTATTACTGGAGTCAATAGAGTAGTTGTTGTACTAATTGTACTATACGCATAAAAATCTTCATGTTCCAACTGTTCTTCTTCATTATCGGTGTCTTGGAGATCTAAAAATTCGTCATTAACTGTTCCTTCAGAATAGTTAATGAAATCCTCATCATTTATTATTCTTGTTTGCATTTTTGGTTCTGGTTATAAACGCCAACAACTTTAAACCGTCAATAAATGTACGTCCAGTGAAAATGATTGAATATCGTAGACGCTAGACAATTAACTCTTCTTGAGTCAGAAAATTATAAAGCAGTAAAACCTTCAGAGTTGGTTGGATCTGTTTGGACTAAAACGGATGAAATTGACAACATTGATTACTATAGTTATTACTGGTCAATCGAGTGGTTGTTGTACTAACTGTACTATATGCACAATACTCTAAACACAGCTAGGTCCACGGTTCATACAATTGGTAGAAGTAGCAGTAGTAACGGTCATTTTGGGGGAGAGGAGAATATGTTAGACATAATTGGTGTTGTATTTTGGACACTCAAAATAATGTATAATTCGGTGAAGTGGACTGTATATGGTTGACGGTTGACGGTGAACGGGAGACGATGTACGGTAGGCAATTTACGGTGAACAATAGACGGTGTACGATTTACGGTGAACAATAGACGGTGTACGATTTACGGTGAACAGTAGACGGTGTACGGTACTGAACAACGCGCGCCGAACGTAGATAGTAAAAACGGTTGTAGCTACGTCGGTGGCCTGTGTTTAGCTTATCGCGCGAACAGCTGGACAGATGCGACTGAACATTTATTGATATCAATAAAAATATAATAGTTATATACTTTAACTAACAATTTTGAACATATTACGGTGTATATCAAAAAACTGCATACAATAGTATTATACATTATATTTAAATGTGTATGGTTCTATTATTTATTTTATATAATTGGTACTTTTCTTCTTAAAACTAATGATATATGTATTGTGGATAATATATAATTTTATCTATTTACCTACAACTCTATAGGTTTAAATAGTTCAAAATAAAACATAGTGAAAATCTAAAGAATTTGAACACATTTACATTATAAATTGCAGAGACTACTTACATTAAACCCTACATACGACACACTTCTATATCATTTGCAACGAAGTCAACACTGTAATGTAATGAGACTAGCATCTGCACCTCCTGTACTTATGCCGATGAACGTGCCACAAACAGTAGGTGCCAGTCTACTGTTCCGACCCTCAGATATTTCCCAGTTACCATGAAGCTAGGCAAAAGTTATATTATCATTTAGCTTCAATTTTTCCCGAGGAACAAGTTTCTATAGCCATGCAATATTATCCAAATGAAATAAATCCTCAAAATATCTGTGCTTCTATATGGAACATGTTTTCTAAAAATTGATTAAAAACGTATTTTTGTGTTCTATACACAGTGTTGTATATTAACAATATTTATAAGTGATTTTGTCTAACTACATTAGATTATATAACTATTATGTAAATTTTATATTTTATTTAATATTTTTATATGTTTTGGTTAACCAAATGTATTATAAAGCGCCGTATTAATAATAATTATTTCAAGTTGTATCATTTTTTAATTTCCCCATCATAATTTATATTAAATAGGAAAACAATAAATCATATTGTATTGTTAGTTTTGTTGACAGTTGATTAGTTGGTTTAGGATAATAATAAAACAGCCAATTTAAGAAAAATCAGGCCTATATTTTCAAAATTGTTATTCTAAGTGTTTTTTTTTTTTTACATAAATTTAATTATTTTGGTTTAATTTAAATTTACGAATGGCTTCATTACAATCAGGCCTGTGTAATTGGTAAAGGATTCGATCTTGAATTTTTTTCACTGCTGCTACTGTCAAAACAATTGTTTCATATTTCAGCATACTGAACACATTTAAACCTAAAAGTAATATTATTAATAAATATCAATTTTCAATCGATAATACAATATTATTTATAAAAACAAACCATAAACAGGCATCAGATTCATGTGTTTGATTTGGTTTAACGCTAAACTGATATTTCTCGGCATTGTATCGGTACTAAACATATTATTAAAAATTAATAACTTATTCATTTTTAAACTTCATTAAAAACTGAGTTATTACTTTTTTTCAAATTATTCTGTTAATTATAAATAAATAATTTTAATTACTCGTCAATGAATAGTACTGATGGTCCCCAAAGCCTGGAATCAACTAAATCTTCAATGTACCCTGGGTCTTCTGTAGGCAATTCTAAATCTCTCACTACGTGCAGGTCATCCTATACAAAATGCCATGTTAAATTCAACATTAACTCTTGTTTATTTTTATAAATATATATACCTGAATAAGCTTAACAGACAATGAAGACGTCAATCCATACACTCTTTTGTAGAATGGAAGCATATAAAAATGAGTTTTGTGTGCCCGTGGACCATGTATGACGGATCCACCTCTAAACAATGGAGAACGTCTTGTACCGTGTCGTGCTCGTCCTTGACCTTTTTGTGGCCAGGGTTTCTTTGAACTCATATTGACCTCAGCAGTAACTTTAGTATTTGCATAACTCTAATAGTGTATATACAAGAGTTAATGAGGCTAATTTTAAATTAATTAACTAACTAAAAACAAGAAACAATAACTTACAACATATTTATATTTTCTTTGCCAAACAACATTTTCGTGTATAATATCTATTCTGGGTCTTGATCCAAATACTTGAGGATGCAAATCTATAATAGTCGATGAATTGTCCTTTATGGTATCCAAGTTGGATACCCATGCCTGTCGTACATTTGTGTATCCGCCATATATCAGTGGTGGTTTTTCGGTATCAGCTAAAGTAATCCAATTATAAAAACTTACAAAAAAAAAAAATGTGTTTAATACTTACTAAATTCTGTGTTCTCTAATGTTGCAGCAGTAGACAGTCGACATGATACAGTGAATCTTGAAGGGAGAGCGCGTATTTGTTTTGCCAAACAGTTAAATAACATTGTAGATTTTATATTAGATCTTAACTTCAAAGAAAAATCGTACGTATTTAAAATTGATTCAATTTCAATTCATTATAAACAAACCATCTAAAATGTATTAATTGTAACAAATTTGAGATTGAAATCAAATAAACTCTGATATCATAGAGGCGTGGAAGTGGAATATGAACGTTATCACCATACATAATCTATTATTTATGGTTATCATTTATCACTAGTAACAATGAAAACCCGTAAAAATGTTGAATTGATTGTGGTAATTGGTTCACAACATAGATATTTTTTGCGAGAAAATTCTGAATTATGAAAAAAAAGATAGTAAACTATACTATAATTATTCAGTGCTATTTTATGTTGTAGGCTATTCAGTCCGGGCAAATACAGCCAATAATGAAATGGGTTTATAAAATGAATCGTTAAATGTTTTTTTTTTTCAAAATATCTATATATAAATATTTATCTAGCCGTAATATTTAGTGATGCGAATAATCGAAAATCAAGAGATTCACTCGACGTACCTAATTGAGTAAATAAGTATCATTCAATACCTCGTGTAAATTCATACTATAATATATACTGAATAGAGCCAAATTTTACAAAAAGGTCTACCAGAAATATTACCCTGTCAAAATAAGACAAGAGATCTGTTTTGTTGTATTTTGGAACTGCATGGTATTTTGAAGAGGTCATTTTTTGATTTTTTTCGTTGGCTGTTTGCTTCATTCTTAACACGAGTAAACAAATTCATTCAATTCTATTTTAAATATGCAATTATTTTGATCTTAATGACATTCAATTAAATCCTACTTGCAATTTTGATAAATAATAAGAGACTATTTACAAATGATAGTAGACATTTAAGCTATAAAGACATAAAAAAAGAACAATGTAAATATGAATGTAAAGACCAGTGCTCTAATGCTCTAAAGTAGGCTACTCTTGTAGGTGGAAAATTCAGAAGGCAGGATACCTATAAAAGGATTATTGTAAGGGTTCTGAAAATTTTGTTTAATATTTTGATAATTTTAAGTAGAATTTTTTTTATTAATTTATACCTAAGTATACAAAATACAATTATAATTGTTGGGTTTTTAAAAAAAATATATTATAAATGTCAAGTTAGAACACCTATAAAGATAAATTACAACATAAAATATTATGCACTCAACTATCACTTGTTTCACAGACAATATTAGGTATGTAAGTTGTTTGCATTCTAATTATAATCTAATATTATTAGTATGATTATTAGATGCAAGATTAATGGTTTAAAAACTTCTTTACAGGTAGAAAAACAAAAGCTATCGTAGGATAATGGAGATAGGTGCAGCCACTGTTGTTGGTGTAAAGTTGGGATGTATAGAATATAAGGTAGGATACAAAGGGAAAATTAATTTATATCTGTAAGAAACAAAACATTGTTTACTAAAAACGATTCTGAGCGGAGTTCAGTTGATAGTGTTGCTTTGTTAACAAAATATATATCATGTGGTAAAATAATTAAATAAGCATAATATATTTTCTTTAATAATATTTGTTAAATATAGTATTGATTTTCTCGTATTTCCCATGTTTTCTCACGGTCTTTCACATTTGCTGAAAAACTCCTGAAAAATCGAAAAATGACTTTCTCAAAGTACCTTGCCAGAGAGATTTCCTTTGAGAAAATATGCTATCATTGTAAATCGGAGCAAAATTCCTCATAGAAAAGTCGTCCACAGGAAAAAAAAAAATCATATTTTGCTTACATATTTCATTAATTTTCCTATTTTTTTTTTTTTTTTTTTTTTTTTTTTNTGGAGTATTATTGATTATTTTTATTTATGACGAATTAATAAAATGTAAAATAGATAATTTAACAACAGTTAATATTTCCAATCTTAGTCACAATGACACTGATTTACTACAGACAAATACAATAAAAAAAACACTTTTTGATTTTAAGTTGTATAAGATAAAAACATCATAAAAAAATAATATATATATATATATGTATATCTTTAAATTTAATATAATATAACAATACAGTATAATTTATTTATATCAATAAAAATATAATAGTTATATACTTTAACTAACAATTTTGAACATATTACGGTGTATATCAAAAAACTACATATAATAATTTTATACATTATATTTAAACGTATATGGTTCCATTATTTATTTTATATAATTGGTATTTTTCTTCTTAAAACTAATGATATATGTATTGTGGATAATATATATTTTTATCTATTTACCTACAACTCTATAAGTTTAAATAATTCAAAATAAAACATAGTGAAAATCTAAAAAATTCGAACACAATGGTTAAATTATAACATACAATTAAACTCTAAAATATAATTTTAACAATTTGTTCTTTAAGCACCATTAGTATATAATTTCTTTACATACATGATTACATGTATAGTGTAAAATTTTTGTATAATATATTGTATAAATAATATTCAAGTAATTAAACAATACTATTTTACCTAGAAAAAAAAAAAACATATTTTAAGTATCTAACTAGTAACTGTACTTTAAATAATATATAAATTAAAATAAAACAATTGTGTATTTAAAGGCTAAATCGTAAAAAATAAAATATTACTCAATATTACTCTAAACCCAACATTTTTATAAAATTATTTTTATTAATATTAGAACCATTTTTTTTTTCTCGGGGGGAGCATTTTCATTAATATTTCTATAATAAATTGATTTTCCAATAAGTCATATTCATATTAATATATATATACCCATGTGGTATAAATTAATACAAAAATACCAAAGCTCAAAGTATACACAAGTTATCACAGACAATATTATGCAAGTTGTTTACATTAAATTTTAATCTAATATTATTAGTATGATTCAGTACTTTAGTAGGTATTGGACCAAATGTTGGTGTTTAAAAGTTACAATGAACTAAGTAGTAAATATAACATTAAATTTGGGTAAATTTTAGGTATCAAATTATAAAAGTGTAAATACAAGTAACAAGATAAAAACTCGGTTAATTAAAAATATAAATTAATAAATATAAAAAAAGTAAACACACAATAGAAGTGATTAAAAAACCATATTTTATCTATTTGTCAATAAAAAAAAATCATATAAGCATATATGTATCTACAAAATATATGATATATATTATAAACTAAATGAAAATATGGCAATTGAATTGATAAATTACCTAATGTGAATGTAACTGGTTCAAAAACTGAATCATCTGCTTCTCTTTTATCCGTTTGAATAACTAAAGAACACGATGAACTTGATTTCCGTCTACCTTGAACATCCATTTCTTTGGACGACACAGATGGTACACGTATTTTAGTCTTTAAACCAGGTGATTTAAGATTTAAGTCTGGCCATAATCTTTTTTTTATGGAAGTTGTTTGCAATATCTCGGTTCAATTTCCAAAGATTTTTCATATAAATAGTTGCTAATATCAGTGCCTTTCATATAGTTGAAGGTGTTCAAGTTTTCTAAAACATTTTTAATTTTAGGCTCCATATTTAAACAGTAGGGTTGATTTTGATATTGTTGGATTTCTTCAATAATCTCAGCCACTTTTCGACGTTTGTTAAAATTAATTAAATTTGGACTGATGGTT